AAAAGAAAGAGTCATAACGTAATTCTTATGCTACTACTCGTTGAAATTGATAATCCGTGCTGTAGGATAAGTTAATTTACCCACCGTTCATTATAAGGGGATACCAAAATTTTAGGATAAGCGACGTATGGCTTTAACTTGTAGCTAATTAATCTTAAGTAATTTTACGCTTAGCGAAAAGATAATATATTATTCACTTACTCAAAGTATCGTATAGTAAGATGTGAAAATACGGCATTTATAACATCAGTGAAATTTATCAATTATCAATCTGGAAGTTGATTTTATATGAGTGATTCGTATTATTATAACCTTATATTTGTCACAATACGAGTTCTATTTGATAAACAAAGGTATATAAATGGCCAAGAGTACAATCGATTTACTCATAGCGTTAGACTTTTTCTGCAAATATTAATCCATGTTATGATGGTGCTTGTTCAGTTTGACAATCATATACATGATATACAAAATATCAAATTTAATAACGCACTAGTTAACCAAATTTTAGCAATTATTATGTATCAGTGAAGTTAGATGAAAGATTTTCCTGCTCAGAATTAATTAATAAATAGATACATCTTACTTGACATTATATTATTCTATCGAAATTTTCATTCCTCTTATGACTAAAACTTATCTTGCTCGATCCAAGGAATTAACACTGACCGTAACATATATATCTTTAAAATAAATAAACTTTTACTCCTGAACGGGATACCAGAAGTATTTCATTGCATGCTATAAGAAGTGTGGAGTTTTAAGTTTGAATTTTCAACGATATTTTTGCGTAAAATAATATTTTATTTCTATAATCGCTAACGTTCTAAATCTATATTTTAAATTGATTACTTTCTGATAGAAATTACGTTTGAGACATGGCAACATGTTACGAAGGTTCAAGAATACGGGTTAAATCATACGGTATAAATAAATTTATAACAATCAATTTTCTCACGGCCACGAGATATTGTACATCTGCACCTTTTCTATTCTCTGTTGGTAGTTGTTTACAATCATCGCGATCTGGTAATTCATATTGTAATTTAATAGAAACAATATATAATATAAGATATGTTGTATTGAATAGAAAAGTTGACTATTGCGATGGTAATTTTATCCCCAAATTATACCCTTTAATTACTATTCAAGAAAGATATCCATCTATGACCATGTTTGAAAGGCATTTGAAATTGTAAACCTTTTGGAAAGATATTCCTTATTCTATGTCTTGTCTCCTAGATGACAGTATGCCATAGTCGATCATATGTGTTAGTAAGATAGAAATAAAGTAATGGAAGATATCAACTTTTTGTATAGTTATGACCAACCATTGGCTTAATACAGTATTATTGAATCTAGATGTTTTTTTTAATTATTACTCGTAAAATATGCTTACAAAGACTTTTCTTACGTTCCCTTTCACAAGTGGTCTTTTATCTATTGCTCCATGATTCTACTGTTGTTATTTCCGCTTCGAAGATATCTTCAATATTTTAATTTCACCATAGATATTATTTACAGTACAGCAGTAACTAGTTAAAAATCAGAAGCGCTTATACCAATATGCTGCTTCTATGAAGTAGGATTTTTAATCGCCAACTATGGCAGTTCCATAGGCAAGTATTGAGAGCAGAATTTTTATTTCATAGTCTCGTGGGAGATACAGTTATTGCATAAAGTAGCGTCAAAATTGATTGCGTATGAGCATCGTCGCTATGGGTAACATTTTCATGATATAATTCCATTTGAATTTATTGATATTATTATATCTTTAGTTTTAAATTTCAACATACTTCCGGTTATCGCGTAATAATTCAGTTTGTATTCGTTGCAAAATAATACAAATTGGTAGATATTACTATGCAAGATATGATCATTTCCTTGATTAAGAGAATTCTAGCATGTTATGGGAATACGCGTATGTTAGGATTTTACTGTATCGCTTGTAAATCCTATACATGTTATCTATTTCCTTGTTGGACATTTGTAACTATGTTCTGTTTAGCATGAGGGATCGCTGTGAAGTCATTATAACTTTAAAATCGGCAGATTGCTATCCTAGGATATTAAAAAGCTATAGTATACGAACGGAGATCACTGGCTAAAGCTTAGTCTGCGCTGTTGAATTAACTACATTTACAGTAATTTAGTCATGGCTAAAAAAATACGCGTCGATATTATCCTTAAGATTAGCTTTAAAAATGGATATCAGCGGTGATTACAGATATAGGTATAACATGAGTAATAGCTAGCTGATATAGTATAAAGGAAAAAATATCTAGGACACAAGAATACGAGAACAATTATTTTAATTAATTAAGGTGTTGCATTATTGTATAACGTATAACATATACAGTAATTGAATATTATACGATATGTATGCTTGGGTGTTCCATTGGGATGCCATATTGGAGAATGGCAAAGGGCTATAAGTACTTTTTTCTGGTACTTAAAAAAATCGTTCGATTCATATTTTAATTGATATACGAATGGAGTAGTATTTCACTCATTCTTTGTAGTCCGTATTATTTTTCACAGATGGTACTATTTCATCCTGTTGTGATGGCAAATACTTGTAAATGATTTGATTATTAATAATATGACAGGATGACGTCGAAGAATTTTCTTCAGGTTATGAATCTACTGTTCTTGGCTTTCTTTTCTTATTTCATGAGCTTTTTTTACTTGGGATATTTGATGGCAAACACTCGTAAATGATTATTAATACGATAGGATGATGTTAAGAATCCACACTATTCTTGGCTTTCTTTTCTTTTTTTTCATAAATTTTTTTATACTTGGGATGTTTACATCCATGGAGTGTAATATTATATAACATGCGATACAATTATAAACTTCACATTTCAACTTACTACATCGAAAGATGATAAGCCAACCAATAGATTCAACATTTATTCATCTTATACTACGTATCAAATAGTTGTATCGTTTCTCTTTCTGTAATTTACACCGATATGGCATTGATTTCTTTACCCATGAATTACCTATTTTCTCGCCATGAATTTAAGATCGCAATAACATAAATTGCGCTGGTTATTGAGCAAATAGGTAGATATACAGTTCGTCTATATTACAGTATAATGGAGGGCCTTATGGCCATTTTAGCATATACTAAATCTGGATCAGTTTGTAGCAGAGTTGAATGATATGTTAATTAGTTACCTATACTGGTATTTTACTTCTTGTTAATGTAACTTAATTGCCTAGCAGACTCCATTTTGTAGTCTAAAGTAGACACCCATGTTTATGTATAACGGGCTTACAAGGATACCGTACTTCTAACTATGAATTGTGTAAAACGAAGGACCACTAGGCGCAAAACCTTGAGGAATCCTTTCTACAGACTCAACATTTGTTTTTCCTATACAACCAAATGGCTACATCGTTGCTCTTTCTATAGTTTACGCCCGATGTGGCACTGATTTCTTGACCATCAATTACCGATTTTCTCACGCTGCATAGGGCATTTCAAGTTACAAGCCCAACATAAATTGTGTTAAATATTTCGCGATTACCTAGTGATACAGTCTGTCTACATTATATTAGAGGCGCTTGCGATTATTTTAGAACGTGGTAGATCGATATCGGTTAATGTAACTTGATAGGTTGTAAAGACTACATAGACAGTAACTCGATAGCTATAGTCTACAATGGTTTCCCTTGCTTATATCTAATCGGTTAAAAGTATCCTTCTAAATGTAAATCGTATAAAAGTATGGACTACTAGAAGGTAACCTTGAAGTATCCTTCTAACAGTCCGTAGTAAAACTGCCAATCCTCAGTTGAACGATGACAATGTAAAGCAATTTTCCAGAAAGTTAAAAAATATGAATCAGTTATAGCAAGGTAATATTGCTTTAGTACTTTGGATATAACTATTACCGATGGACACCCAAGTTTACTTCTTAATGTATTCTACCCTGGCAATAATTCCATTTTTGTGGCATTTTCTTTTTCTACCTTTTCTCTCACTTACCCATGAGAGAAGATCGTAAACTACAGTATTGTAATATGGAAACCCTAGACTATAATTGCAAAGTCTATTGTTGGCTAAGGCGATGGCAGTTGAAAATAATATACCATCATTATCATGTAATAACATATGATGATGATGGCCATAATATCCAATTATAAAACCGATTCGAACTGATTGTTGTTCTAAACAGATCTGCATGTTTTGATCACTGGGTCATTGTTGGAGTATTTTTTTATTTTATTTTTTCATCCTTTGCCGACGCTATACGATCCAGTTGTCGGTCGATGAGAAAATTTTGCCGCCTATGCCATGAAATGGAGTTGGATATCGATTTTAAAATGGTCCATTGGGATCGTGGAACCAATTTTCTTTTCATGTCGGATATTGATAGACGCTATGCCATGTCCAGTAGTTGGACCCCCCCTTGCACAGTTTCAACAACAGACTGAGAAGTGTTGTTAGAATGATGTAGTGATGATAAACGATGGATCGCTTGTTTCTAAGCAATAAGAATATTCTTCAGTAATTGTAACTATAATCGACAGCATTGTCTACTCGACTGAGATGCTTTGTAGAGGAGTGATGGAGAAAGTTAATGCACGCTTGCTTTTCCTTTTACTCTATACTGCTATCGGTCAACAATAGTAAATAGAATCTCTTGCCACAATCAACATTGCTACTGTCTATTCAATAATTGTCCTAGTGGATTGCAATATGCCGACTACTATTATAGTCTTTTCTCCATTAGTCCTGGTGTCTGGTCTGGTCTTTTAATGAGGAGACTATACCTATCAAGTGGGACAAGCATATAGCAATACCGAGAAGGTGATAGCCAAGCATTTAGTAAAACTACGGGGGATAGGACTATAGCAGATTGATCATAATTAATTAATTAATCAATCCAAATAGATTCTTTCTACAAGGCTTGATACTCTTAGAATTGAGTAGAAATCATTTTGAACGTTTTGGAACAATTTTATATCCCAAGTTGTTGATAGTGATGGATGGAAAGAAAGCATTAATGCGTTTTACATTTCTTGCTGATGCAGATGAAGGATTTCGACCTCGATGCTCATCGGAGCCAGTGCCAAAAACTTACTCGACTCCGTTGTCAGCGTCGTTAAATTCCAATTATTCACATCAAAATAGCACCGAATGTAATTCAAGTTCAACAGATAGTGAGCACGTTTTTGATATTTCAAGTAGCCACGAGAATAGCAACAGTCAACGTGTTAACGGTTTGGATTTATCGAGCACTGGCCGAACCGTGTACGCGGTTGCATCGCCATCGGTGGTACGCCGATCCAATCGTTTTATCACCGACGCTTTTACTAATTTTAGCAAATGGATTAAACCATGGAAATGGAAAGCCAGGAAAACCAGTCAATTTCTACAAGAGAAATCCATTCGTAAGTTATTTTAATCCTAGTCGGTTGGATGACGATTTCATTCTTGAGCAAATTGGATTATTTTATTTTCATTTCCAATCTTTTTTTGCAACCTTTCCAATTATCTCTGAAAATGTTGACATAAAAAATGTTGTTGATCAAATTGAAACGGTCCTTTCTTGATTGAACTTCAGATTCTACCGTGTGGTATATCATATCATTTTTACTCTACTAGTTCAAATGAGTTAGTTGTTGACGATGATTCTATCCAATGATGGATTTTCCTTGAAGTCCATGAATTTGGGATACCTTAGTCAACTGTAACTACGATAGATTGCTATTTTTTTTCCCCTTTCAAATAAAATGGTCATCCCTTCATTCCTTCATATCATTCGATATTGATCTACTGTGTCGACATAATCGACATGGAAATTATTATCAATACTTTTTGTTGATTCTTTCTTCAAATAACTAAGTTATCAAAAGGGTTTTGTTGTCTTTGGCCATTTTTCCTCTTTTTCTTTTTTTATTTTATTTTTGATACCATAGATTATTATTTGATATCATTTGAACTCATTTTTCACTGTTAACTCGTGGCACATGTAATAGAAGTGATTAGGCCCTACCAAAATTAGCGTCTACGTTCGGAGTATCCTTACATTAGGCAAGTTATGACGTGGCATTTAAAAAAGCTCCAAGTTTATTTGTCAAGGAGGCAGTAATCGACAGCAATTATGACATGGATAATTCCAACTAATAATGCTCTCATTTACTGTAACAAAGTCAATCGATTCTTCATTTTTACTTTTTATTGGCATCAATTTTTTCCTATTTTCAAAGACGAAGATGATTGAACGTTGAGTCTAGAGTAATTTCCTTCAATCCTAAGTGATTGATTCTACTTGGCTTGCTATTAATTAATTAAGAGACAACCTTTGTAAGCTACATGGTGGATACTCTCCTTGAACTTACCATGACGAATGGTAGATCATGATGGAAAATCGATCCATTTTATTCCTACTGAACAGTAAATACCTACTGCAGAATACAACGTAATGATGATGATGATGTAATTTATGATCAAAACATGAACAATTTAGCGTAAATGAGTCTATTGTGGAAGTCGATGAAGCTGAAAAAGAGTTGAAAAAAAAAATAAAAAATTGTTACAGTTTATTCTTGTTAGATTGAAAATGGAATAATCAATTAATGAGCTACTATGGATTGCGATTAGCTTGGAGCAACTTTTCTTTCTTGCCAAGTTGTAATTGTGCTCTGACTGTATCCGTATAATATCGATTTATCATCGTACTTTTGTTTTGTAAGGTTAGTTGTTCATTATATGTTTTATTAATGTATCCAAGCTTATCATAATGATGTACTGTTGTACATGCCATTGAATAGTTTATTTGCGATAGCCATTTTCAAGATATTTTCTCCAATCTTACTGTTGACAAACATTTGATCAAGCTCAGTTTCAACGATGGCGGTAGAGAAATATTAACTTAGGCTGAGTTTTTGTTTCTATTGACGACGATATCTTTGGCGGTAATGATCGAAGTATCGGAAATGGACTCCCAGTTTATTTTCCTTTCTATTGACGACGATATCTTTGGCTGTAATGATCAAAGTATCGGAATTGGACTCCCATTTTATATTCGAATTTATTGACGACGATATCTTTGGCTGTCATGATCAAAGTATCGGAAATGGACTCCCAGTTTATATTCGTTTTTATTGACGACGATATCTTTGGCTCGAACGATCAAACTATCGGCCGTATTAATGTTGGCGTATGATATTTTCTACTTTACCTCTGTCCTCCTTTTGATTATTATTTTGTTATTGAAAACTCGTATCTGGCTTCAGTATACGCTTCTTATGTTGGATAGTGATATTATATTTTTGTCAATTTTTTACAGCAGAAAGCATGGCGTTTTATTGCCATGGTAATGTTAATGAATGTTACTGTGGGCTGGTGTAGGATACATAAACATGCCGTGTTTTCAAAGGAGTAGAAATAAATACAAGCTGGGACAGACTGCATAACATGGAGTCTATTTCAGTTGGGTAGAAATGGATAGATCCAGTGGCTAACATGTACACAGTAGATTATTCAGTCGGCTCGATATGGACACTTGGACAGTTGTAATCGTTGTGATCAAGTTTACTGGTTACCATTTCATTTAGTCAAACGAAAGACGTATGGATCAAATGAAATAGGCGGTCAGTGCATTGAAAATCGATGGCTGACATAAATTAGCAAACTACCTCGCAAAGATACTCGTTTAGTTTACCATTAGTAGTGCTCTAAGTTAGACAGGATCGTAAAATGGATATTGATAGTGTACTATCTAGCGATTGCACCCGGCTATTTTAATTTTACAACTATCCTCTCTCGATCCAGTCGGCTTGATCTGAAAACGTCGATTGCCATTGAAGTACCGTACTCGTACTAAGATTGAGGGATAAACTAGTGGAATACCTCGTAGTTAATGTGAGAAAAGGATGGAAATTGTGGCTTGCATACGCTTAAGAAGATCGTCTATTGAGCTTAATTGAATCCTTTCTACAGTAGGCAGCTTTAGTCGACGTAGATACCAGAAGCAAGGGTTAGCAGTCAACGAGATAAATGGATCGCCGCCACTGACAGTAGGATAAGACTTATACCTGTGCAATCAAATTCAATTTTACCTCTCCTGCTATACCCAGCCTAGTTCAATCCTTGTTCTGAACAGTATACAGCAGTTCCTTTTCCCTCTATTTGATCGTGATATCCAATATACAGGTAAAAGTCTTACCTCGATGCTTTACAATGACACAATCTAGCAGTTTTACTTTTTATTCTCTTTTATTTATTCAAGTCTTTTGGGACAATTCATCCAAGTAAACATAAATAAATTGTAGTAGGTCTATGACGATCGAATTTCTCCTATAGAGTCCTATGGGGGTGGTGGTAGAACTTGATCTCTTTGGATAGAAGAAATCAAGTTTGGTTATCAGATAAATAGATGATGAGATGATGAAGAATCTTTTGGAAAATTGGGCCGTTTCAACTGATCTACTGTCATGGCGAGGAACCGTGATCATAAGAGTACTGTTGTTTGTCATGTATCTAATTTTAATCACTACTCCAAACTACTTTCGGGTTGGATCTTGTTGTGATGATAATCGCTTGGTAATGAACGACATCATTAAGAGTAGAATCAGGGACTGAATAATACTGTATTCGGATATGGGATAAAGAATGAGACGGTGATGAAGAACCTTTTAAAAAATGGAGAAGTTTCAACTGATCCAGTGTTCTATCATCTGTCATGTATCACATTAATCACTATTCCATACTAATGTCTGGTTTGATCTTGTTGTGGTAATCATTACTCGTTAACAACATCATTTATTAAGGGTAGGACCAGGGACTGAATAATGTTCAAATATCAGATAGATAATGAGACGATGATGAAGAATCTTGAGGAATATTGGACTATTCCAATAGATCTGTCATTTGTCATGTATCGCATTGATCACCACTACTCTCTGCTTTACTTTTGTTGTGATGATAATCAATCACTCGTTAGTTACATCCTAAGAGTACGGCCAGGAACTGAATAATTTCACGAATAATGTTGGGATATGGGGTAAATACTAGGAGGTTATAAAACGATGATGAAGAGACTCTTCCAAAATTGCGCTGCTTCAATTGATTTAGTATTCTGCTATCTATTCTGCATCGCATTAATACTCTAGTTTGGTCTTATTAGGACGATAATTTGAAAACACAGGTTAACAATATCGTAAAGAGTAAGACTAGAGACTGAATAATGTTCGAATATTGGATATAGTATGAGGCAATGATGAAGAATCTTTTAAAAAATGGATGAGTTTCAACTGATTGAGTGTTCTTCCATCTATCACGTATATCACATTGATCATCATCGCTACTCCATACTACTCTCTGATTTTGTCTTGTTGTGATGATAATTAATCGCTCGTTAATGACATCACCAGAGTAAGAGCAGGAAGTAGGAAGAGGATTTTTCTTCCCTGGTAGGACTAGCCTACAACACATCGCAGAGTTTATGGGATAATACTGCACAGTAAAAAGAAAAATGAAGAGTTGCTGTTGTCCATCACGATCTTTAAAGAGCTAGCCACTATTTTTGATTAGTATTGGATACATAGTCAAAGTCAAATGGAAGAACGACTATGTAAAATCGGACTACTTGTACTACTGGCTACTTGAATAACTTGAACCTTTGAAAAACCATCACTTTGATACGTGCATTGCCTATAATTTTCAATATAGTTTATACAGTAGGATTGTACTACTGCAAAAATGAGGCCACAAATCTGCACGGGTAGTATATCATGGATTACTAGAAAGAAAACCTAAACAAGCCACTCATATCTCATCTTTAAGCTATCAGTCTGATAGCAAAAGTATCGAAAAATACAACTCTTCTATCTTTCGGTTGTTATAGAATTGTTTTATTTTCTGTAGCAAAATTTGTAATTTCAACTATAGATACTCTGCTCAGCTATAGCTGTGCCATAACTGTACTGAGATATTGTTGACAACGAGAGCATATACGAATACGAGTTATAGGACCCTTCTATCTTCTACTTGTAAAATTATTTTCTCTGGCAAATCGGTAGTTTCAGTAGATATTCTGCTCAGCTACAGTTATACTGAGATATTTTGACAACTAGAGAATGGAAATACAATCTTTCTGTCTTTTATTTCTTAAATTTACAATTTCAATAGATATCCTGCTCAGCTATACAGTACATGTGCTGAGATATTTTTGACAAGCAGAGAAACATTATCAAGCTATAACTTTAATCATGTTTTGACAACCAGAGGAAAAATATCAAGCTATAACTTTAATCGTGCAGTGCAGCCCCAAATAAGCTGAAGACTAAGTTTATATCGTCTACAGATAGTCCTTGGTCGTTGTAAAACGAACCTAATCGTATGTAATAAAGTGAAATTTACAAGAAACTGTAGTTCTGGTTATATTTTTGGAGAAGACACTTTATTATCAATCGTATCAAGGATTCCGTACTGACGCTGTAACTTTAAAATTAGTCCATCAATGATCGATGATCATTATGAAATATCGCTAGTCTAGGTCACAAAAATCGAAATTAATTAGAATAAAACGAGTATTTGGATATTTTAATTTGTGACCTTTTCATGCGTCATAAGCTATTTATAATGGTGTAGGTGAAAAAAAAAAATAGAGTAAAACTGGTTTTCACGTACGCAAGAGATTCCTAGTGGAAACAGTATAAAAAATAGACCTACGTAGGTAACATCAAATAAGCGCAGTTTCTGTAGTATCTGGTCCAAGTTTCCTGATATATCTACTCTCTTACCATGAGTCAAGACTACAGAAATAAAGTCGAAATGCAATGATTTTTTTACTCAATATAATAGGGCAGAACTAATCATGATATCGGTTGCGATGGAAATGAAAATCAGATTGGTATACGCCTATTCACTCGCCTCATGATATTGCGCAAGGGTTCCAATCCTATCCTATACAGTACAACAAGAAGATAAAATATGAATTTCTTACTGTGATATACGATAGTGATGATTGAAAGGAACTATTTGAAAAATTGATAAATTAAAATAGAGCTTCATAAAGAATCATCAATGTAAATAGGGACAAGTAAAATGAAAATGTGTTTACTGAAATTTTCCGAATTTCAATAGAGTTAAGAAAATAAAATTATAGTGCTGTTGTTTCTATTCGTATAATAGCATGGGAACTTTTTGGAAGGGAAGAAAGGAGGCAAGAGTTTGCTACAGGGTATTAGTATGATATTTGCATCTGTTTCTGCTGATCATTTACTATTTTAGAGTAAAATTCGTATCTCCACGCTAAACTTACAGGGATGTTTGCTACGTCTGCGTATGTTTGAAGTTCGCAGGCAAAATTTGTTGAACATTTATTTAACTGCTGTATTACATAGTTTACTCTGTTACATATAATACTACTAGGAGACTAATACAAGTAGTCTAGGTACTAACTGACTGCTTTTATTGACTCTTATATTATTTACACACCATTTATGGATAAAATTGGATCAGGTCATGGTGGATTAGGCAATTGTTACTCAATCATTTATACCGCTTTTATTATACCCACTAATGATTGAAGAAGAATACCGCAGTTGTATACTATGATTTCATCGGACCATATCAGAATACGAGTGCGTCTGCAAACTACTATTCGTTGTAGTTACTGTCATTAATTTAATTTATCATGGGATATATAGGCATTATTTTATCCAAGTTATAGCCTAAATAGAGTATCTTGAGCCGAGTCCAATCTAGCCATCTGATTATCCTGTATAGAGGATCGGTAATTTTTTTTGGCGGGGGGGGGCAGTTATTTATACTTGTTTAATTAATAATGAAAATAGCCTTTCACTGTCCTGACTACCGACTTTTAGTAGTGAATAATCGCTTTCCGCCCTTTTCTTCCTTTCCTTTTAGTAAGCCCTGTATATACATCATGATTTCATGGTATACCGTGAGCGTATATAATATTGTCAAAATACGAGCGCAACTACAAACTGTTATTCGATATGGTTATTAAGTTGATCACGGGATACAAGCACTATTTTACCCAAGTAATAGCCCTAGTAGAGTATCTCAAGCTGAGACTAACCTAGTTATAGGGATAAATTATACGAGTATAGTGGATTAGACAATTTTTAGGTAGTCATTTATACTCCTTTAATGGAAATAGCTTTTACTGAACCGATTCACGATTCATGAAGAATAACGTAGTTATTCATGCTAGTAATTTATCATTTCATCATACTGTATAACATTGAAATTGGAGTGCAACTACAAACTGTTATTCGATGCGGTAGTTAACTTTATCACGGGATAAACATACACTATTTTACCCAAGTATTGGCCTTAATACAGGATGTTGATTTACTGAAGTTACACGTATAGTAGATTCAGCAATTTCTAGGCAGTCATTGATACGCATACTTCTTGAATGAACATAGCCTTTTAGCGTGTGGACTAACATTCAAGAAGAATAATGTTGTTATATGTACTAGTATAGTATGACTTCATCATACAATATCAAATACTGGGGTATAAACTGTTATTGGACATAATAATTTACCCAAGCAGCGACTACTAGTTATTTTCGAACAGTCCTTAACCCAAGTAATGACTTCATCATACAATATCAAATACTTGGGTATAAACTGTTATTGGATGTAATGAAGTTTACTCGTATAATAATTTACCTAAGCAGCGATTACTAGTTGTCTTCGAACAGTCCTTGACCCAAGTAATGACTTCATCATACAATATCAAATACTGGGGTATAAACTGTTATTGGATATAATGAAGTTTACTCATATAATAATTTACCCAAGCGACTACTAGTTGTCTTGGAATAGTCCTTGACCCAAGTAATGACTTCATCATACAATATCAAATAGTGGGGTATAAACTGTTATTGGATATAATGAAGTTTACTCATATAATAATTTACCCAAGCAGCGACTACTAGTTGTCTTGGAATAGTCCTTGACCCAAGTAATGACTTCATCATACAATATCAAATAGTGGGGTATAAACTGTTATTGGATATAATGAAGTTTACTCATATAATAATTTACCCAAGCAGCGACTACTAGTTATCTTCGAACAGTCCTTAACCCAAGTAATGACCTTTATAGAATATCTTAAACCTAGTCTAACCTAACTCGACCCCAAGTCACCTTGCCTTTAAAAGTAAACAACAAGAGAAATATCGTAATAATATCTCTTTGATAATCTAAAATTTAGATAATGGTATTGTTATTAAATCAATGGCTATTTTCCTTTTGTCATTACTTTTGTTAATTGATAAGATCTTAACGGAATTCTATTGTCAATCATCAATTCAGGTATTCAGCCAGACAATAATAGACTATGTGAAAATGTCAAAAGTCACAGCTAAACTTCAATACTTTCTATTATGGGCTATCTATGGCTGTATTTCTATTGTTATTTTATCAAATGCTTGGTTTTCTTGCTGGTATACCGGATTTTTTTATCTTTCTATATTGAATATGGGTAGAAAATTAATTATAACCAGCAAAATCATACGATATGTTTATAAGTTAAGATTATAGACATGTATTGTGCTATGACATGTTGCTCGTAATACCTAGGATAAATAAATACTCCGAAACATGAATTGGATTTCAATACTACCGCAGTGACTGTCACATTAAAAACTAAAGATTGAGATGTTGGATTTCTTGCTTAATTTTTACCTAGCAACAATTGCAAAGAGTTGACTGTGTAATCAATGAACTTTTAGAAAGATATTTCTCTCCATTTCTAATAGTAATTCTTTCAATATGACAGATCTGGAACGTAAGCTATCGAATCGAGCATCGCGTGATGTATTAATTAGGAGAGGCATACTAAAAACTGGTAAGAAATGCACCTATGCTTACGGACGATAGTGCTGATAGCGATAACCTACAATTTCTGATGCTGGCAACTTATTAGACTTTCATAGTGTGATAATTATTCTTTCTATCTTGATGATAACATCGGTAATTCTTGTAAGGCAGCTATTTGAATTATACTTTATAAAAGTAATCTCCGAGTTTTTAGTAATTTAGGATAGCTATAGTGTATACTCGTCAATTTGTAGTTTCAATCAATTTCATTTTTGTAAATTGCTACAATATGAGATATTACATAAGAGATAAAATGATCTAAAAATGAAGTTTAATTAATTCTGAGTAAGCTATATCTACTGTCTTGACATAGATATACTACAGATAATATGTACTTTGTTTATGAGTAGGAATTATACAATTCTCTCCAACCAAAATTCATTTTTAATAGGCGATGAGGAAACTATTTCACACTTTAAATATTTCATAGTAGTAGCATCTTGATTTCTCATCGTTTTAAACTATATTTCGTGTAGTATCTATATAGCTTATGCTATATCTTAGCCAATATCCTGCAATCTTTAGCTGATTACTTTTGCTCTTCTTTATCTCAAGTATTCGTTATAAGATCTCATCCCTAAAGCAGCCTCTATCTTTAGTATCAAAGCGACACAAATCATAAAATTATATTACTGTAGTATACTACGATATTATAAATGAACCTTTGATTAGGTCGCACTGATTAAATTTCACCAGGCTGTAGCGTTACACTCTTACCCGTACAGCATAGACTACTGTGCGATGTTTTGACTTTAACTCACTTTAAACCTGATTTTCAATTTATCTATCGTTACTTGTATTTGATAATCTAAAGGTATCTACAGTAACATAAGCATTTTATCATTGTTTTCTGAAATAACCGTAGATATACCAAATATATTTTAGAATCTATATTCAAATTTTGTAAGTTGTCGCATAGCTTTTCGCTCTTCAAATTCTACAGTATTTATTCTATCGCATGATTTATGTTTGCGTCATAATCTGTACCGATTCGTTACTAAAAAATTGTATTTTGGTATCAGATATTTGTCTTCCACTTAATTAATATATTCTCTATTTGTATTTTTACTATCGATCTTGGTTGCTGGGGCTATATCTACACCGAAAAATTAAAAAATGTAGCTTCAACTGATTCGCCACAAATGAGTCAATCGAACAAGCGTAGAATTAGGCGACGTGAAAATGAAATTAGTAAAAACAATATTGATCAACCAAAACAAAAATTTATTTTTGTCGCATCTATCAACAATGCAGACAAGTTAGTTTAATGATATATTTATGATGTTATAACTTGTTAACTCAGCTACAATCTACTATAACATCATTGAGCGTACATATGGTGCGTTTAAATACTATACTTATTTCCAAATTATATGCAAAGTACTTTGCCTATCATCGTTGCAACCATGCTATTCACTTTTATTACTATAAACAAGAATAATGCCAGTATAACTTATATTAATGTCTTGATAATATTAATCTATATTTTTCAATTGCTTAATATTTAATTATTCTATTTTCAAATAATTACTTTTTTATGGATTGTTACCAAACTTAATAGTATAAGCAGCGATTCTGATCGGAGCTCATCGGATGAGAGTGGCTATGAAGATGAAGAAATGCTCGGTAATATGATACAGTAATTAGTATAACTAGAAAACATTCTCAAACTCTGACATTAGTAGGTAATAATTTACGTAATGTAGTGCAATATGAAAATACGATATACCTATTTCTGTAACTAATTATTCTTGCTTGTGAAGATTAATTAATATCCTTTCTTATCGTATATCTATATTCGAATGCAATGCTGTATAACAGATATATTAGGGTACTAACAATTATAATAATAATGATAGGTTTATGGTATCCACTTATACGAGTACATAAAAATGATGCCATCAAACTGTATCATTAATTTCGTATCCATATAGTTGTTAAGAGCTGATATCTATTTAATCGTATAGATAGTATACTGTTCTCTAGTTGCATTACGTAGAGCGACCAACACATTCGATACAACTAGATTTAATAGAGATAAAAAGAATACCATCAAGGTATTTAAAAAATGATTAGCAACTTCTCTAAAAGTATACTGTACTGTAGTATACTTTTAATATGTTAGGAGCAGTCCTCATACAGTTCAGTTATGCTAGCCAAATTTAAAACTTAATACTATATTCCTGTATTATAACGCGAATTTTTTTATTTATTACGTATAATTTTGTAGCTGGTAAGCAATATATTTGTTAAAGATTATTTAATATATATATATATATGTCCTATACTGTTATCATTTGTACGCTTACATCTACGTTAAATTACAATGACACCTTGACATTATGATGACATAGTTGCAGTAGCTGGATATGATCTGAAACAAAAGCGACAATCAATAGCTGAAGTTGGCACCGTCTTGACAAGGTAAATAACGTATTTATCAAGTAAAATTCAGTTTATAAATTTTCATTATGTATATATGAAAGAATTGCTTATAATACGATTAGCAAGAGTGAATTGTTAGCACCTACATTTAGCAGTATTATTAACATGAAGTAATTATTTCTTTATTAGGAGACTTAGTTTACGTCCTAGTCGTGAAGAACTGGAAGACCGTCATATCTTATTGAGTAAGTTTATACTGTATAGCAACGAGAGATTATTCTACTGAAATATTACGTGGAGCTTGTAATTAATAATGATCATATAGTTAAATGAAAATATATAGATAGTTAACTGTATAATCGATTTTCCTGCAGATTGTTCTAGCAAAGAAAAGAAGCAAGAGATTGAAGAAACAAAGCAAGTATTAACGAGGAGGGTATGTAATTAATACTAAGAATAATTTAATTTATAGCGGGTTTAATAAACGTTTCTTTTTCATCAGTAACAAGATTTATTATTTTTCTAAGTAAACTTTCATAATTCATAGTTAAGCAATAGACCGTCTATAACGGAATTAAAAGCTCGAAAAATTATTCAATTCAGTGATTACGTCCATCTGCTAGATGTCGATGAATACGATCGGAGGTTAGATTGTAAAAATTAATTTCAACCTAATGCTATAATAAAAGCGTTACAACATAGTTCGGTATATAATTTTATTATGGTATTTTATATGCTTGGTTTGATCAACAAGTACTGTTTTATGAGCCCAATCTATCTTGTTGCAATAGTTTAACTTTCTTTGCTAATTACTACGTATAGATTTACTATACTAAAAATAGCAATTACAGGAAAATTTTAATAATAGAGAGTATTAAAAGATACGTTTTAAGGATTAGTTCTGGCTAATCTCAACTTATTATTACTTAACTTAAAGATCTGATAAACCATGGACAAGACTGACGTCAAAGCAAAAGGTATGTGATAAGATATATCATACTTGAATGTTTCATGTGCTCATAATATCGGTTGGTTGCACCCATGATAGGATTTAATTGTATTATAAGCAATTTGTTCATTTTTTATCAGCGATATTAATGTGTTACTTAATTTAAAAATATAGGCTGCTATTAGAAAGGAGTTAAATGAGTATAAAAGTACTGAAATGCTTGTTCATGAGGACAGTCGCCACTTAACCAGGTAAGGTCTCCAAAGTGATATAGACAGAAAATACATGCTACACAATTGTTTTAATAATAAGCAATTTTTCCGTATTATTGTTTTTACGAAAATATTGATGTCGGCAGGATATTTTAGTGTTCACGTACGTAATCCAATGATTAATATGAGATGATGTGATAAATAAAGTTGATCACTTTATATTTCATATTCGGATTTGCCGACTGAGCTTAATGTGTAGATATATGCAGTATTTTACTTTATGTTATCGGAGAGCAATATCGACATGTCAATGATTTAAAAATTTTAATAACGTATTGCTGTTTATATTTTGAATTACTCATTTCTTCACTCTAGATACCACTGAAACCACTGAGTAGTGCAAGATGTTATTTTTAATGATGGCGTCTCCAAATCGAAACGATTGATTGTATTATCTATTGTTTACGAATAAGTTACATAATAATCCGCCATAATCATTACTGTCTTTTTAAAATTCTGTATAGGGAACTTTTTGTCTCATTGAGCATTTTTGGTCTCGACTTTATTAATTAAATGTGTACATATTATGTATAAAACCGTTAAAATGTGAGCCTATAAATTGGTGCCTCAGCAATTGTATGACTAATACGAAGTGTTTGTATCATTTACAAGTCGGCAGTAATTGGAATAAGAGCATACATTGTACCAGTGTAGTGATGTATAGAATTGTAACTTGTTGGTGGATGCAGCTTCTATTAACATCCAGATGGAACACGTTATCTACATACGCGTAAGATATGTTGAATGCATTATTGTATTATCTAATTTAAAGGATATGGCTCTCTTAAAATCTCTTATATTTCCTTTGCTATCATGTAACCATATTATAATTATTGTTGAAGTATCTTTTAATTATTTGGAACATATTGTAAGTAATCTCTACGTTATATCGCTAATTCCTGTTTTTTCCAACAATGATATTGTTACTTTAAATTATTTTGGAAAATGCATATACGAATCATTTATTAACCTAATGACAAGGAGCCTTTTTAAAGTATGTATCTTATTTTATGATACACAGTATGCATGTTGCATTTAAGGTCTTATTAAACTCGATGGCAACTACGATAATAAATCATTATTATGTAAAAAAATGTTTGCATAGCAAGCTGCTATCTAGGTTGTACAGTATTTAGATATGAATATAAGGAACTGGAAGTAGATTGTTGCTTGACTTAGAAATGGCATAATTAATTGCCTTAATTCCTATTATATACGTTATTGTTCGGCATACGTAAAGTCGGTTACATCTTCTTCTATTTACAATAATTTAGATATAGCTTTACCACAAATGCATAGTACTACTTACTGTCAAAAAGGGATGATAAGACGATAAGATTAGCACTAAAAAGTATCTATCATATTTGTATGCTATTAAACACCTAAAGGTACATCACCTGCTATTACACAGTACTACAACAAAAAATACGTCAATGTACCGGATATTTCCCTTTTTAAATATAATACCAGCTAAGTTTTAATCAATCAATTACATAACATTGTTAGATAATGGTAAAAGCGACATACTTAGTTACGAAAGGTAGAGCAATGCACAGCTTAATATGCATGCGTAATGCGTGATATCATTTTAAATTAAAATAGCTCAGTTTCAACTATATTTAAATTTGATAATCATGATTAAACAAAGTAATTGATATGCGGCATTTTTAACCTTTTAACAAACCATGAAAACGAAACATGCTTGTTTGTACGTATTTATGTTTATACATAAATATTTCTACATAAATTAAAATTACTAAATCTAGATAACTTACAGTTAAAAACAATTTTTCTGAAAGAATACTTTTTTAATGAGCGTAAAACACATCCTTCTGTACAATTACGGAATAGTGGTTTTTAAATGCCAACACATATCAGTGGTTGCAACGATAAATCACTGTTCAACAAGTCTACTGTAAATTAAAGGTAATGCTTTAAACGAGCAGTACGTGATATTTTGGGCACTAAAAAGTTGCATATAGATATATTCTCAAGCAGAATGGATACGTGTCTAAATTCAAAGTCGTTAGTATTCCTCAATTTCTTCTCCTCCGGCTTCTACTTCATCTTCTGGAGCAGCAAATCCATCCTGTAAACAAAAATTTGAAGGATTTGACTGTACTGCTATAGAATAAATCCGATTTGCTATCAATTATATATTAATTATGCACAATTTGTGTCTAAGAGCTAGTATTGCATGTATAGAGCTTTACCTCGGTAGCGTACATAATCTCTAGGATTTGTGCTATTATTGGAGAATCGTGAGCAGTATCCTGTTGACATAATACCTCAATATCTCGTAATTTATTGAAGTAAAAGTCTCGTTCTTTCTCGAGTCCTTCCACGGTTAGCTTTAGTTCAGTAATCTATATTTTAATATGGATCATTAATATGGTTATTTCTGTAATAGTGAAAATTCAGGCCACTGCTCGAAAAAAGTTAATAGTATTAAACTCACACCTAGGTGTAAGAGTTAGAATTTTATCAAAGCTTTTGACTACGTTGTAGATCAGCTACAACACTTACTTGTGCATTGAGTTCATTCACTTGATTGCTATTATTACTAGCGGGTGCTCGCTTTGTAGTTCTACCTGCAGGTGCCATCGTGCGAGGTTTCTCTGCTGGTTTAGATTTGACTAAAATGATGAATGGATGTGCTATTATTGCATTGCCTCAAATTATTTACTGTCTTTTAACATCATACAGTAAAATAAAGACCATAAAGTAATGTTGCATATAAGAGCTAACGCTGTGTAAAACTACAAACCTCCCGTAGTTCTAACGCCTGCAGTCGTTCTCTTAGTAGCTGCACCAGTATTGGCACTCCTCGAGGCAGTACCACCTCGAGCATTGACGGGGTCATAGTCAACACTATCATTACAATTTGCGTCGAAGAATCTTTTAAACCATTGAAGGAATTCGAAGTTATCCTGAAATCTACCTTTGATCAACCTTTCAATGGGAACAGTCTAAAATGTGCATAAAATCATCATGTGTTAATTAACAGAATTAATAGGATGTTACTCAGCTATATTGAAGTAGGAGTTAGTATATAGCAGACGTTATACTGTACAACAGGAGAACGATTAGGCAAAACTGCTGTATACTTAAAAATATACTAAATTAGAAAAAAGTATCATTGATTACGACACCAATAGAATAGTTGGCATACCTTGTCTACACCTGCCTTTTTAAAGGCTATTTGTAATATCTTGAAATTTTGAATGTATTCGTGTTCCAGTTGAGTATTGAATTTCACCTTGCTTAGATTTGCTGTTCCTAGTTGTAATAGTTTAGCAATAGCTTTTGTAATGAGTGTATTGGATTGATAAATAATAGATTGCAGTATATCTTGGTGTTAGCTTGAATAGTCAATCGTATGCCGTATGATCTCTCTTATAATTTGCAATACTATACTTCATGCGAACAGAATGGTGACAACGACAATCATATCATATCGAGTTGTGGCCTAGCTATTATTTTTGGCTACTGAATACTATACGCATTACAAAATTGACGATAACAGTGTGATTGAGCAATTTTTCGGATATCTATGTACAGTAGTATCTATATTTGACTTTTCAATACTGTATTATAGAAATCCGACTATAATCTATCTTAAGCTGTTAATTATCGATACGAGCTCGTATGTAGGATAAAAATATTGATATTCTAGGCTTAATTGATTCTTTATGGACAAGGTTATGTACAGGTCCATAATGGTAGTTATTTTTCGATCAGTCAAGTTGTTCTCTCCGTACTGATTTATACAGCTGAACAGTCATCCAAACCCGGTAGTAAATAAGTGCAGTACTGCATTAGATGCAAGATACTATTGTAAAGGGATATGAATAGAGATTGATTGAAAATTAAAAGTAGTAGTATAGGGAATGCAAATATCTAACAATGTAATAGCAGAAACTTAGTAATAATCAGCAAGATATACAAATCAAGTTAATTTAAAATACTGCATTGCATGTAGCACTCAATACCATATACTAACGATGGTTACGGATCCCAGTTGATTTACATAATTGTAGACAATTTGCATACTAGACGAGCTAACTTGACTGCAATCTGGTACGATATCATATGTTAAACTAGTTCAAAAATATTTCCTGTTTGTCATATTGTAATTAATGCTCTTTGACTGAAGGAGATTGAAAGTGTATCTGAATCTCCTAGGTTATCTTTATCATGCTAGATTAATTTAAGGTGGAAGTCTTTTTTATTTAACATTATACTACTGTATTTTCGCCTTGTCTTTTAATACTCTACAACTAATACATTACCGCTATAGGATAATGACAGAGAGAGTTGTTGACTATTATATTAATGCTGTGCTATCGTCTATGTTGATTTTAATAAACTCCTCCCAAAGTATGTTGTCTCAACGCTAAAAACGACTAATGCTAAACCATAATAATATTAGGCCGATAAGAATGAATTTCGAGAATGCCTCAGGTCGATCAATGTTCTACACGGAAGTACGATAATGCTTTTACTACAACTTTTAGGTAGGTAACTATTCCAAAGGACGTTGACTAAGGGTAGGTTTACTTTTTGGCGTCCATATTGTCCTGTATTGTATGGTGTAAAAAACATATTTTACTGGCAATATCTTCTCAGCCTACTCGCAAAGTTATAAAATTGGATCTGGTGCTAATATCAATTACTCGTATGGGATTATTCTTGATCTGTGCAAGTATCTATAAGAAAAGTTTTCGTCATGTATGCCACAAGCCCATCCATATCCGACATATCAGGCATGGACAGTCGGAGATTTCTAAGAGAAATCCATTTCTCTTAGCAATTTCTGATGCAGTATGTTTGTTTCAAGGCACAGAATGGAAGAATAGTGCCATTACTACATTATATACTCGGTATACAGCATGTAAGCAGTGATTGTATACGAATCAAATCTATAATAATCTTATGCGAGTATGCAGTCTTTACGAGAACTAGGCGTGTTTGATGACAATAGTAGTTACCCTAAAAAGGATAATGACTTCGCTTTATTTTCCATTCTACTAGAATTCCCGGTAAAGCGACGTGATATTGATTTAAAGCTTGTAATATCGCATCAATAAGGTACTAAAGTCGATCTGTTATCTTTGGTTAGCATATCCGATCCGATGGCAGGAATTTTTTAATTTTAGAGCAGTTTGTATTTTTTCGATAACAATAGATAAAATATAAAAAAAAAATATGCCATGGATAGTTAAACAATGTCGTCGATGTGTTTCTCAGGCTTTGCTTTTGACATATTGAATTGTGGAATATGTTGATGAATCGTTAATATAATGGATATATTGATTATTTGGTTGGCTGCATGTATCAAAGGGTGACGATGGACGAGTATGCATAGACAATCTATAAATAGTGTAGTACTTTAGCAGCTAGCATTTTAGAAGATGATCTCAATTTCATCATGGCTATGTCTATCAATTTTAACAACTACAGTACAATATTGGAATGTTTTCATAAGCTAAGATCAATGATAACTGCAGCATAGTTGTATATCTTGTTCTATTGGTATAGCTTAATGATGACTGGATGAAAAATTTTCAAATTTAATCTAATCTATTGCGGGCAAATGATGGTGGTCATTCTTGATAATGACACTGACTTTGAGTTGTTAGGAAATGGAACAAGATGGTGATTTAGATCAACGATGAGTAAATTCTACTATACTGGTACTATGGTAGTAATTCTTCTCGATGTCTACCACTGTCTCAATAGCAGTATCGACTGTGTGAATGGGGGAAATATTGTAATGCGATGTGATACTAGGGTGGTTGATCTAGGAAAGGTGAAAGAGGGTGATTTCGATTAGATTTAGGATGCGGAAATCATATAAAACGTGCGGTAGAGACAGTATCGTAACTTCAATATTCTACTAATCAAATTCATGATAGTCTGTAAATCCGTTGGATTTTACAGGGCAGTATCTTCAAGATATATCTATTTTGATTTAGTTGGTTGAAGAAGACCAATTTTATTATTTTTCTGTCCATAACGACGTATAGTCAAGATGAAACAAGATTGATGAAGAGTATTGTATAGTATTAGGAATTTTTTTTGGCAGACGTTAAGCTCTGGTTGATAATGTCTGCCTAGCGTTCAGATAGCAACTTGGACGTTATTTTATTGACCAGAAATATCTGCTGATGATTGCTTTTTACGTGTTGAGCAGTAATTAAGTTTGCAATATTTAACTTGATCGATGAGTTCCACGAGGCAAGTATAGTACAGTACTTACATCCAATATTTGTTTAGGAATCGACGTCAATATCGACTGATAACCCAATTTGATGAAAGTGAACGATTTTGCAATAGGATGATGATGATACATTGAATAAGGCAACTTTATCTTTAGCATGGACTATCAGTAACATACCAGTGATGTGTAGCTTAGGTTATTGAATTGCAGTCATTGATTTGGTAAGTATTTGAATGGAACACTTTTGATTATACTCGTATCAAGACAGTTGTGAACGTTTCCATTTGCGTCTTACTGTACTACTGCATGTATGGAGGGAGCAGGTAAGAAATGTGTGATTGATTGAAAATTGCCCCTCCAAAACTACATTGACTGTGCCAATTGGCTACATAATATCAATTGATATGACTATCCAAATCGTGCTAGCTATGTAAAGCAAGTTTAATTGTCGGTACAAACCTGGAAAAAGCATATCCATAAATTGGCAATAAGCAGCTCCTGTCAAAATAGTGTGAAGATAGAAGAACGACGTTAGTGCAATTCAAGTAAAAAAAGGACGGAGATATTGGAGGGTAGATTACAAGATTGAAGGCAATCGACAGTAGAGTAAATACTATCAGTGATGATGCTAAAATTCATACTAGATTGGTTTATTAACTTGATAAGAGTTGTTCATTGATGATTTGAGATCGTAATTAGAATGATGCTATGTGCAAAAGAGGGAGTGGAGGGATCGTATTCTACTGTCGTATCGATCAAGCAAGGGTTGCACTATTCAAGCCAATATGCAGCTTGTTGAGTGACAATGATGAAAGCTATACTCGACTGATGTATTACAAGTTGGAATAAAAAAAAAAGGCCACAACGCATTTCCTCGAGCATAACATGATGAAAAAGTAGAATAGATTGATGTCGATGGAAAGCAAATAGACAAGTTTATCGCTAAAAACCACATGCCTGAACATAGTTGCTCGACTTTAGTATAACTGAGTTGTAATTGATCGTTGACCCAAGCGATCATATCATGACGGCTTAAGTTATCCAGCGATGCTGATGTTGCATGTACGTTAATAGCCATGTCTATGCTTGTTCTTTCTCTCTCCTTCTTCTCACAAATGGATTTACAATCGGTGAGACGGAAATCACCAGGGAAGTTGCGATGAAAAGACGGCAAAAAAAGATTTGAATTCTGATACTAATTGAAGGCGGGACTAGTCTATTTGGGTAACGTCCTAATAGCCGCTCGGGTAGTATAGTGTCTATGTCAAGTCATTATTTTGCATACTGTAGAAGGCAAATCGCTGCCTCTTATTTAATACAATTTCTCTTTGTTCTCCAGGTTGTAACCAGTCCTCTAGCTAGCCGTCTCCTTTGAACACTAGCCGCCCTCATCGTGGTTACAGTACCACCACTATAGACGGCTAGGATTTGCAACATGGTTGCCGTAGTTGCTTTCTACTCGTCCATTTTATGTTGCAAATATCCCACTAAGAATAGACGAATGGGGTTGAGAAAGTAAGCAGAGAGTTTATTTTGGCAATAGGGTTAGTCATCAAGACGATTGATCTTTTCCTAGGCAACTTGCGACTCGCCAACAATCGTCTATGCCTAACCCTTACTCTACTCTCTATTACCTATACAATACTATGCAATAACGAGTATTGAGTCAGATGTGAAATTCTCCACTCTTTGCTTTCTTACTACCACACATACGATCGTTATTCTACGTTTTAGGTTGATTCTATCAATATACAATTATAGAAGATACAGTAGATAGGCGTATAGGTTGTATATTATCCGTTTCCCATCGATTGAACCCATTCAACCGATGGGAAATACCCCGCAATCATACAAGTAATGATAGCAATAGTCTGACTTGAATATCTCTATGGATCAATTTATCCCCTACTGATATTTGCCTTCATCCATTTCAATTTTGCATTTTTTTCTCTCTCTCTCCTCACTCAATCTTCTCCAACGCATTTTAAAGCGCGATAATTGAAAGAATTGTGTCGTAGGCTACAGTACTTACTATTTATCATGGACATCGATCTCGGACGGTATGGAATGACAACAGAATAATGCTCAGGAAGGCAAGGAAGAATCGAGTTTTACTGAGTGCAAGATATACGGCTGGAAAAAAAAGGAAAAAAAGGGAGCACTAAAAAAAAAAAAAAAAAGAAAGCACTGCTGTAGTACTCTCGATTTTGCTGACAATGAAGTTGGTTTGGATTGATTATGATTCAAAATCGATCTAAAAGTGCAAAAGACATTGAAGACATTTTGAGGCAGCAGTCGAAGACAAGGACTGACAGAAGGAAAAATTCACTTCAAAACAGTACACAGTTGATTCAGTATGAACGTATACTGTAGACTGCCAGATTACCACAGTAGTACTGTAGTTTGTGACTGCACTGAGTGAAAGCTGAGCTAGCAGCGATGATTGAGTTTGCGACTCACTGAATTGAAAACTACTACGGAATTTTCCTACTGTAGACTGCTTTCTAACTGGTATGAGCACAGCCATAGACATGGACTACTACATGCACCATCATGATGTAATTGAGTAGTCCATGGCAGAGCACACTAGGCAAAACTGTTCCAAAGTCCTTGGGTCGAATAAAAGAGTAGAGCATGATTGCATCAGTGCAAGAGTTCCACGGTACTGTACAATAAGGAAAAGTCTTCCTGAAAGAGTAGACATTGTTCCCTGATACGTGATTCAGGGAATCGAATGATTGATCGTACATTACGTTATTTTGTAGCAAAGCTGTTTTCCAACAGCAATCTTGATCATCTTCTACATGACTACTAACTTGGATATGGCCAATCTAACGTTGGCACTTGTATACAGGGTGTCCACAAATTATCCCCGCGCACAAATTTAAAATTACTATTGCCAAATCGAGCAGTAATTTGCCCAAAAAATGTACCGAAATGGAGAGTAATAAATAACCTATCATAATCTGAAAACTTTAAAGCTATAACATTAGATACAGTATGCAGTCATCGCATTGATCAAAAATAAAAAGTACAAGTACTATTTAGAATTATACCAGGCAAAACTGTTCAAAAGTCCTTGGTGAAACAACAGTAGAGCATGATTGCATGAGTGCAGGAGCTCCACAGTACTTCTTCTACTGTACAATGTACTGTATACTCTGTACAGTAAATCAGTCATTATTGAATTGACAGTGAATTGAATTGGAATTTTTTCATGACAGTCATCATAATCATCATATTCAGCGATTATACTGTACTGTATAACATTAGATACAGTATGCCGTCATCGCATTGATCAAAAAATAAAAAGTATAAGTACTGTTTACAACTATACCAGGCAAAACTGTTCAAAAGTCCTTGGTGAAACAACAGTAGAGCGTGATTGCATGAGTGCAGGAGCTCCACAGTACTTCTTCTACTGTACAATGTACTGTATACTCTGTACAGTACTGTAAATCAGTCATTATTGAATTGGAATTTTTTCATGACAGTCGTCATAATCATCATATTCAGCGATTCTACTGTACTGTATAACATTAGATACAGTATGCCGTCATCGCATTGATCAAAAATAAAAAGTACAAGTACTATTTAGAATTATACCAGGCAAAACTGTTCAAAAGTCCTTGGCGAAACAAGAGTAGAGCATGATTGCATGAGTGCAGGAGCTCCACAGTACTTCTTCTACTGTACAATGTACTGTATACTCTGTACAGTAAATCAGTGAATTGAATTGAATTGGATTTTTTTCATGACAGTCATCATAATCATCATATTCAGGGATTATACTGGACTGTATAATATTAGATACAGTATACAGTCATCGCATTGATCAAAAATAAAAAGTATAAGTACTGTCTAGAACTGTACGCCAAGTAGAACGAGTAAGGAAGGGATCGACGTAACTTTGAAGCCTTTCACCATTTGCCTAACCATCAACACTGTCCACTGTACAGTGTACAGTGGACAGTACTGTAGGCTGTAGCACAGATATTGAATCTGCGCAGCCGCTATCGCAGTTGCTCTGCGATTTCTTGTTGCCGTATGGAAACAAGAAAGTTTCTACGATAAGCATTGAAGGCTAAATAAATGCAGGCCCAAAATCGAACAGTTTAGGCTCGATGGATGCTTAAAAGGTTCAGAAAAATGTTTGAGTAACTACTGCAGTTATACTGGACTGTACAGTATACTCACTGCATGTTCAAGGGCTAACTAAAAGCTTCTTAAAGGGTTCAGAAAAATATTCCAGTAACTACTGCAGTTATACTGGACTGTACAGTGTACAATACACTCAGTACAGTATACTACTTTATATCGCGCAGCACTATACTCTACTGTACAAAGGGGAATTAGCTCAAACCTTGAATGCCTCCATTTCCATCGCCTCTCCGGTGCTGGCCTCAAAATTAATTTCATTCACATCATACTGGAAAGAAACAACTTATCCTGCCATAATGAAAGATTTACCTAAAGTTGATAAACTATTTAGGATTAAGGTAGAATGACAATGAGAAATTCGTATTGTATCTACTCAATCCATTGGTCAATTGGATCAGCAATATCGTAGTTGGAATCACTCACCTTTACAAATTCTTAGCTAGGCAGTAGAAATAGTATTGACTTGTTGATCAGACTTTCATCAGGATTGGATTGGTAGACTGACTCATCAACATAATCATTACACTTCTATTTCCTATAAATGAACAGTGTATAGTTATATCAACATGTAAATCGATTGCTTATACGTTCGATGATACAAGTACTGTATACAGCCAGCTATCTTATTTTGTGAGCGTAGATGGATGTGACTTATCAACATAATCATTACACTTCTATTTCCTATAGATGAACAGTGTATAGTTATATCAACATGTAAATCGATTGCTTATACGTTCGATGATACAAGTATACAGCCAGCTATCTTATTTTGTGAGCGTAGATGGATGTGACTTATCAACATAATCATTACAGTTCTATTTCCTATAGATGAACAGTGTATAGTTATATCAACATGTAAATCGATTGCTTATACGTTCGATGATACAAGTATACAGCCAGCTATCTTATTTTGCGAGCGCAGATGGATGCGACTCATCAACATAATCATTACAGTTCTATTTCCTATAGATGAACAGTGTATAGTTATATCAACATGTAAATCGATTGCTTATACGTTCGATGATACAAGTATACAGCCAGCTATCTTATTTTGCGAGCGTAGATGGATGGAGCTAATTGTTGTTTGTTTGTTTGTTGCCATTTCTGGTCTACAAGAGTAAAAGAATGAATCCAATTTTTCAATCATCATTTTATTCTATAGAATCAGAATCTACATGTCAGTCATCTTGACTTTGCTACCAAATCAATCAAGGTTAGTACTAACTCTCCTCAATAATAATGAATCCAAACGTCTACTCGATCGTGCTTACCGGTAAACATGATGATGATACCAACGTATTGCAATAGATGGATAGCAGCATAACAATAAAAGTAAAATGAATGCCAGACAGTGAACGATAAATACTATCTCTACAGTGACTGTAGTACTGAAATCAAGTATCAACCAATTAATTATCTTTCAATTAAACCTACTTTATCAAATGGATCATCACCTTATGACAGTACGAGAAGTGAGATATACAACCAAACAGTCCAGCATCGACGTTCTCTGTACATACTTGCATACCTTAGACAATGAGCCATGTTCAACTTTTTGCAACAACGCCATTGCAGCTTAGTGTAGCGGTTGAAAATTTGCACTCTATTTGGAGCGATCATATCAACAAATACAAATAAAATACTAATATTGTTAGTACTAATACAGATCGATGCCTTCACTCAATGGTCAATACTGTAATATAGGCGCTCGTGCTACGTTTTTCCTGAATTTTTATCCTGTAAATAGAGCATATACTATATAACGACTAGTAAAAAGGAATGATATTGGTAAACGATCCATTGGGAAGACAGTAACACACAAAATCTACTTATCCTTATGTTATCTATTACAATAAATATTAAATAAAAAGTAGATTGCAGTATGGACAAGTTAGTATCTTTCCAGTAGCCTATTCGTTCTTAATAATATTATCCTACCTACAAAAAGGTAGTAATCATTCCTTAAGTGGTCAAAAAATATCATCTATTATAACTAGAAGCGTAAATACTAAAATAACAAGTATACTGCAAAGAAGACAATTTGATATCTTTCATTAGTTTATTTCGCTTGAATGCTACTGTATCTGTAAGCAGACATGCAGTAATCATTTCTAAAGTCGTTCAATAAAAAGTATCAAGATTTTTGGTTGTACACAAGAATACCTTAACTTCAATGAAATCGATAAAGTAATACGCAATATCAACATAGCAATGCCAGTCTTGCTGTTTTACTTACAGTATATTCAATATTGTATGCTGCAACAAGTATACATTACTAATTCTCAATGCTTGTAAACATTCACTCCAATTTTGTAGTTCATAGTCTCTAAAAGTTCTCACTATTTCTGGAATGAATTGACTCAAAGAGTACAAGCCATGATCATGCATGCAATTCATACGTACCAAATGTAACTGTATTAACTATTAACTAAAAGATTTGTTTGCTTTGATAGGCTCGAACACGAATGACAGTGATCCCTATCGACCCAAATCTAACAACTTTGGCCTTAAATTGTGATCGAAAGCAAATTGATATCCTTAAAATGACAATGAATGACTTGATAACATCGTACACACTTACTGTACATGCATACTAATAGTTACAATCAATCTTACTATCGACTTGGTAAACTACCTACAACATGGATGCGTTCAAATGAATAAATGATCGTCTGATAATGTAGCTTATTTTGTTAACTGATACCAACGTATTTTGCACGAGCTTTTAATTCAATTCTAATTTTTAAAAACTTTGTTAATGATAATTAATTCATATACATGGATATTACGTTCCAACCACTGCTTTCGTTACAGTAGTCCTTAACCGTGTTATAAATATTACTTCTATAGAAATTAACAACTATAAAGCCGAATTTTCCTTTAATGATATTCCTGATGAACCTCCTGAAAGCCTTAGGTAAGTCGTTTTAATGATAAAGGTATCTATTTTACAACCTTCAAACCTTTACTATGAAAAAATAATCTGAACCCCTTTAATATTAATTTCTTTCTGTTTGCACATTTTATACGCTAACTTATAAGAATTGGAACACTTTTATATATATCTAAAATTTTTGATTAAAAAATGTTAACCTTGAAGCCCGAGCATGCATCACTTTACCCATTGGTATTATTCTCATTACCGGAACATTTACATTCATGGAGGGGAATTATCAATTAAAATACCAACTGAAGTATCAACCGGTAATACTTGTGACATCATCCTTATTACCACAAAGTCAAAAAGATACATAGTATTATAGTATAGTAAGAAGTAAATGTACAGCTCTAAATTGATAGTGCTGGAAAAACGTTGAAAGTCAATAGTTGCAATAGTTCTATTAGTAATTTGTAATTATTTCATCAGATGTATTTAATGATACAAATAGCACTATATTTCTACTCTTATTTTGCAGATTGCAAATCTTTTTCATTGTCCATCGAATATCAAATAATTAATCCCAAAAGTGGGATACAGTTTGTTGTACCTAGTACAGATAACGAACATATTAAGGTAACGTTAACTATTGAAAGAATAAAATTTTTTCTTGTACTTTTTTTAGTATTACCTATAGAAATGATTTATTACTTATCTTATTTGAATATAGAAATCTTTCCATGCGTTTACTTGCGGACATTACAATTCTTCCCGGTTAGTAGTTCAATCGAATAAAAAATATACAGTGAGATAAAACATGCAGTCACTATGTTTATTAGATATAATTCTATCACTCATTATCTTCTAGATTATGGTTTCCTTGTATGGATAATTACTGGAACCTTTGTACTTGGAGCCTATCGTTTAATGTTGATGCGACAATGATCGCAATTAGCAATGGAGAATTAGTAAAAAAGGTTTATCAATTGTATTTTGATGATAATTTAACAGTAGCTTGCAGTCAGACTTGCCTAATTTTTAGCACCCTTGTACCTAAAACATCTATAATTTTCAGATCATTGACGATGATGGAAAAAACGTCACGTTTCATTATAAACTTGATGTGCCAACCGCTGCACCAAATATTGGCTTCGCTATCGGGTAAATACCAATCATTCTATATCCTTAGTTAATCTTTTATGGCTAACTTTTTTACGGCATCATTAGACTGTTTCTTTAATATATTTCATTTTCAAATCCAATATGATGCAAATTTAAATGCCTCAATTTATAAATGCAGATATTTTGAAATATTCGTTGATCCGAAAATTCCTACAGTAACACATTTTTGCTTGCCTGGATTATTGCCAGTGCTGAAACATTCCGTTTCTTTATTTCATAAAGTATAGAACTATTTATTCTGTAATACTATTAATAAAAATTTCAATATTTGTTCATTCAATATTCATCTTTTCTTTTTGTACAAGGCATATGACCTATATCAAAGCATTCTTAGTGCTCGCTTTCCTTTTAAATCTTATAAGCAAGTATTTGTTAACGAAAGCTACAACAACTGCAGTACTTATTCATCGCTGTCAATTTTAAAGTAAGTTGATCGCAGCTTGAAGTAATCAGTATTAGTGATTACATATAATTATTACTTCAAGGAAAAATTTACCTTTTTATGGTACCTTTTCTATTTTTAGTACTGGCTTACTTCATTCCGCGCGTATAATTGAACAACATCATCTGTCTCAGCACGTAATGGCCATTGCATTAGCTCAACAGTATTTTGGTTGTTTTGTAGGAATTGAAACATGGTACGATCTTAACACCAGCATTCTCCTTAAAATTGATTATTATACGAAAGCTATTAACTATAACTTTTCGTCATAGGAATGATTGGTGGCTTACGGCTGGAATCTCTGGTTATCTATCTGCAATCTTTATCAAGCGTAGATTTGGAACTAGTGAATACAAACACTATATTCATAAAGTAAATTTGGATTGTATTCCCCGAAATAGATAAATAATATTTGTAATAAATGAGGCATTACAGTATACTGTAATGTATAAGAATGAATATGTTGCATTTTTATATCACGAAATAGGAAATGGAGGCTCTCTCGGAATACGAATTTGCTGGACCGCCTCTACCACCTCTTCATGTTGACGAAACTTTAACCCAAGTTCATACGGATATTTCGGTTGCTTATACTAACCAGCAGGATCGTATTCCAATCAATTACCATCCTTGCTTTACTTTCCCGACTCAATTAGAAATGTTTGAACGACGATCACAATTAATTATGAGAATGATAGAAATTAGAATTGGTCAGGAATCGTTATTACAGGTCACTAAGCTCAATCATTATAAGTATCTTTAAAATGTCATACAAAATGAAAAATTTAATAAATTTTTTCGCTAATCAATTCAGTCTCATTATTTATCGCATTCGTAGGCATTCAATAAATTGCTTACTCTAGCCAATACTGGTGCAAAGCATCATTCGCATTCTAGTCAATGGGGAAATCTCTTAATTTCTACCAAACATGTGAGTAACTTATATTGTTGATGAAAATAATAAATAAAACATGGCAATAAAACAAATATTAAACTTATTTCTGCAGTTCCTGAAAACGATACACTTAGTATCCGGAAAAGACATCAAAGAATTTATCAATCAATGGGTGTATCCAGTTTTAAAATTATATATGTATATACATTATATACAGTACACTATTGTGTGAGCTCTTAATCAAAGTACTACCTAATACAGTTCAAAATTTTTAATTAAGAAGATAAATCAATCCAGTATGATCTTTAATAAATACACTTCCAGATGTCGCTCAGGTTTACCGCACTTTAAGGGATCCTTCAGCTTTAACAGAAAAAGAAATACGCTTGAATTGGAGCTAACAGAAAAGCAGGATAAAAGCCAGTTTGGCTTTTATGTGGTAAACTTAAATTACGTTGTTTGGATAAATACGCTAAAATTTTGTATTTTGATTAAGAAGGGAAAGGAATTCAGTATAACTATCTTTTATTAATGAATTTTTGTTAAGGGGCCGTTAACTATTTGTGTTCAAGAAGTAGATGGGTCTTATACTCATACCCTTCAAATTGAAGAATCTACATATCATTATGATATTTCTTGTCATTCCAAAAGCAAAAAGTTCGTAGCCAAATCCATGATTTCGTATCGTTGATATTGTAGGATTTAATCCTATGGATAGCTTTAATGCAACGTAGTTATTATACCATTTACTAAGTGAATTATACACAATGTACTTTGTTATATCATTAAAACAATTTAGAAATAAAAAGAAGAAGATACCTTTAAGCAATGGAGACGAGACTGAAATTAACTTTAGTAGTGCAGAGTAAGTCTGCGTCCTAACTTTGAAAGTAGCATTTTTAATGTTTGTTCTCTATTTATTCATCATATTTTTGTTGCAGTTCCGATTCTCCAGTACTATGGGTTCGCATCGACCCAGATATGCATTGGCTAAGAAAAGTAACATTTGATCAGCCCGATTATATGTGGCAGTATCAAATGAAATACGAGCGTGATTCTCTTGCCCAATATTTGGTATGTCTTAATGTTTCTTACTTTCTCTTTTACCAGTTTATCATACACTGTAATGCTGAAATTAATACTGTGCTATTCGAACTTTAGGCAGTAAAAGCATTGGCAAAGTATGTGTCCGCTGATTCCGTCTGCTGTTTAACTGAAATAATAAACGATAGACATATTTATTATCGCATACGAGTAGCTGCAATAAAGGCGTTGGCCAAGGTCAGTCAGTACATTATTTATATTACTACTATATCGGAATGCCAAGATACTTTTTTTAATGGCTGTAATTTTAATGTTCATTTACAATAATTTATATTTTCTGTTAGTGCGCAACTGAAACAGCTGGAGAATGGGCTTTACAACGTTGCTCTATTGCTACAAGTCTCTTTAATATCTATAGAAAAATGTTTGGATCACGCTCCTGTCAGACTATCCCTCGATACAATGATTTCTCATATATGATCGGTTATTTTATTCAGAAAGTAAGAAAGATTATACTTCTTATTGTTACGATTTTCATGGCACTTGATAGTTAAAAACGAATTTTGGGAATTATTGCAGGCTATACCTAAAGCGTTAGGTTCTATTCGCAACTCACATGGTAATTGCCCACGAGAAATACTGGACTTTATAATTGATTTAATTAAGTACAATGATAACTCTCAAAATGAGGTGAGATTAATTGGTTTCAACATATGTGTATTATAAAATTCTAAGTTGATATTGGATGCTCCAGGATACATGGAGATGATTAAAACGATTACGATATCTTACCTTTTAGTACTCAGACAACTACTATATGAGTAGTCTAATTGATGCCTTGACCAGCGCTATCAGTCCAGCTACAACCATAACTGGAATCAGGTAAAGATTACATACGCGTATATCTATTTGAATTACTTCGTAAGACGCTAATGAGTTATGATTGTACTTTTGCTTTATAGTGAATCTAATTATACATTATCGGAAGAATCAAAGGTATTTGTCCTGCACTATTTTAGATCAGTTACCGTGCGGTAATAGCAAATATTCCATAACTGATAAATAATATGTTTTCTATTTGACCTACTTAAAGATCATATTACAAGAGGTAACTCATGCTTTGAATTACGAGAAAATTCTGGCTTCACATCGGAATTGTATAAGCGTGAGGTAAATAGAGTTTACGTACGCTAAACGTATACGCATACATTTTATCGTACGAGTTAGATCATATTTGATAAAGTCCTTGCTATAAAATTTTTTTAGTTGCATCAAAAATATTAGAATGTTACAAAAAAAAGGACACATCCCTCCAAGAGCGGATGTCTTCAGAATGTATGCCAGGTACAGCAAAATTATACCATGCCAGATTTTGTACTTTAATGTATATTTTATGATTATCGAAATTTCCAAACCTATTTTTAAAACACGAACTTAGATATGGCTTCTTTCAAGATATTAGAGAAGCTGCCATTGATCAACTGGCTGATTTTATCAAAGGTCGTTATTTTGTGTGTTGTACCATGAGCGGACTTGTGTAAAATTATACACCTTGAGTAATATATTTTTTCTTTGAAATATAGTGGAATCTAGTGTCGCTGATTTACGATGGATTTTTAGTTTAATTGAAAAAGATCCCGTTCCGTTTATGAGGTATATTGCTCTGTTACTGTATTTGTTATATTTTGTATACCAGTTCTCTCAATGTATGAGTTATCCGTACCATTACAGGCATTATGCATTGCAAGCCATCATCAGGAGTGCACCATTTTCAAATTTGAAAAGGACTACCTCTGCTTTAAATAATATTGAATTAATAGAGCGATTATGGACTCTTATTGGGTAAAGTGACTACCTGTACCTTTTCTTCAACTTACACTTTTCCTTTTTCGTTGCTGATATTCATGGTATCTGAAATAAAGTGCATTTGTACTGAAATATTAAATTGTTCTATTTTTCTTCAAGCTTTGATACCAAACATGACTGCAGGCTGCGATGTGATGCTATGGAGCTCTATACTGAATTATATGGTAGATCGACCCCAGATTGTATACCACCTATACTAAATAGTGTAAGTTTAAGACAATTCGAATCCTTACAATAATATAATCCATCTCATTCGTGAACTTGTTCTATTATTGCAGCCTGGTGTCGTTATTGATTTGCAGAGAAGAACATCTCGTCCTAGTATATCTCCATCCATGGTATAATACTGTACTATAGCTGTAATATATATTAAGTAATGGTGTAGATATAAAAGTGCACCTGCATAGGCGTAAAATGTATCCGATTTGCTATAATCATGGAATGTTAACATTTTTTCTTCGATAGTCGTTTGATGACATATCATTTAAAGTATCTAAGCCATCAACACCGCAAGCTGTAGCAAGTACGTCTCTGCTTAGACGATTACCATGGTTACTTTGACCAGCTACTGAATTTAATATTTTACTCTTCTATACCTATAGCACCAATAGGTCTTAACAGCGATGATGACGGAAGTAGTGTCGTATCCGGACAAGATGCATTGAAAGTAACAATTAAGGTAGGAATGATGCTTCTGGGTAATCACTACATTAAAGTTTACTCTGCTGATTTAGCATGACAAAGTCGATAACATATACTTCTATACCTAGCTGGGAGATAACACTTTTTCCGGAACAAGCACTGCGACCGAAAATATTAATCCTATTGGTAAACGATCAAGTTCGGATGATGTTAAAAGCCATAAGAAACATAAACATAAACACAAAAAAAGTAGCAAACAATCGTCGCCATTTTCCAATCCACAACACTGAAAATGGAGTACGAAATTTTTATTTTGTATATTCAAACGAAGCCATGACTTTTTGACTAGAATATTGTCATTAAGTAGGCAATCGTAAACATCGATTTAAGAACAAGATTAATTAATGTACAATTATTGATATACAGAATCTACATCACCGAAATTTGTTGATATTAAATAAATAAATTATAAATATGTACTAATATTATCCTTGAAATCAGCTGTATGCCAGATTTTAAATGTGAATTGTATTGAGATAGGATAAGCAAGTATGGTCACGAGAATAGTATCTTTGCTCCGCGTTGTAGAACCTGTTATTCTAATAATATATACTATACAATATGTGAATTTAATAAAGTGAAAATCCGAACAAGAACTTAAATGTAGCTATATCTGATGACATAGTTTGTGCACTTCGGTAAACAAAGTGATAGATCGTCATACGAGAGTAAGAATAACACTGCCGGATTTTGCATAAGTATGCTTTCGATATTTATATTTTAATAACGTAATGGGGAACAATAACTCATCAAGTACAGGAATACATATAAATTCAATAGGAATGATTACACATTTATCAATTTTAATTGCCTATCTGCGGAAGTATTCCTGTTATAGCAATATGATATTGTAGGATTCTAGAAATAGAATTACGTGGGTGGCAGGTGCAAATCGGATACTGATATAATAATGGTGGCTAAACAAGATCGAGTAGTCTTCCAGAAGCTGAGACAAATTTTTCATGGCTGTATTCGTTGATTGGTAATGATGCGACGATGCCACCATCGTGAACAGGAGTGTCAGCTTGGCTATAATCAATTTGGTTGCCACTAAAAGAAGTCATTTTACCACCTAAAGACCTTAAAATGGCATTACCTGCACAAATATCCCATTTTTTAATTTTAGTTGAATGGATATATAAATCAGCAATATTCTTTGCGATTGATAAGGTTTTATAACCAGCGCCGCCAGCGGGAGTAATACGAACGTCTTGACCAAATGTTGTTTTGATAATCGCATTTACTTTACCTGAAAGTAGAAGATAAAAGTACGTGTGTATTCGGTTAATGTTAAATAGATTTAGTTGTACTGTATTCTTATTCAAGGGTAAATAATCTACGTTTGTCTCCATATAACAAGATACAACATTAAATGTACTAGTTAGCTATTATAGTCAGTTTTCATACCAGCATGTGATCGTGACACCGTTACGTCTAGTGGCGTTGATTTCCTTCCCAATTTAGCGTAACTGATTAGATCTTTTGACCGACCGTGCCCAATCCAAGCCCAAACCGTATTTGATGTGAACGGATTATATATGACGCCAATAACAGGCTTCCCCTTGATGGCAACACAAACCATGACTGTTACAAATTGATGTAAATGTTCTATTGCCCAAGATTGGATTTATCAGCCATGGCATAAATAGAAGATTCGAATAGGAATAATAACGGAGTTAGCACAATGCAACTTATGGAAAAAACTGATAATCATCATTTACAGCATATCATTTACTATTGTACAGTATTGTCTAATAAAGCAAACTTTATTGTTAATATTATTTTAGCAGATTCAGTCCGTATACTATAGATGAGTGTATGCTGTAGTTAAAAAATGTATAAAAAATTATTGACCAATAGGTGGTAAGTTGAAACTTTCTAGATTTTAGCTTACGTTTACCTATATATTCATGAGTCGCATCTAAAGGATCAACCCATACTGTAACTAAATCTTTAGGCACCGCAAGAAACTGACTAGACAGATGAGCTAACTCAGGCCTATTCAAATTGGGATACTGAATTGAGTTAATTTTTTTAGCCAGTACTTTTGAGTCAAGTTGTTCTTCCGACACCACGCGTAATGAAGGCCAAACTATAGTTACGAAAGAATATCAGATAGTTATATTAAACCGTTATAAGAGCTGATCATTGCGAATATTTGATGTACTTAGGTTTAAGAAATACGATGATGGCAAATGAGGCCCAAAACGGACAATATTATAAAATGGAAGTATGAAAAGCGTTAAAAACTACTCGTAATTACCCTGTACTTGTACAATAAAGAATGAAAGTAGATAATAGAAATATCAAAGTGAATTTACTCATATATCTAATCATAAAATAGAAACAATTAAAAAGATCTAATTTTTGATTTTTACAGTATTCTAAACGTTCATATCAATTACTATAGTAGCGAACAAACTTTTCGCTAGCCATAGGCTGATATAGAAAACATTAGGGTTATGCTACCAGTAGCACTGTAAGAGTGAGAATCTGACGGTCGTTCAATACCTAATTCAAAGATACTAACTGATATTATTTACGTATTTATATGTTAGAATACTTTCATGAAAATGTTATTATAATTTTGAAAAAGCTAAAATATTAATATTGAATATGCTATGGTTATGATGCCTGTGGTACAGGTAGCGTCAAAATCGAGCTGTAATTAAATATCAAATTCGAAGGTAATAACCGACGTTGTTTGCTTAATTATTAATTTTTCATGCATTAAAAATACTTTAATAATTTTAATAAACGTTGTTCTAATTTCTTGAGTATCTATAATGAGAGGATTCGTCGTTAATCGAATATCACTATTATGCTATAGTTCAACAGAACTATGCATTCTATATAGCTGAAAGCTTGCTTCGTGTTAGATAAATAGATTGATAAAATAGATCTATTCTTCGTATAGAAACAAGTGTACTACGTACAGTATCTTTGTAGGACTGGAAAATTATGGCTATTGATGATTGCTTGATTTGTCTACCAAAGTATTAACTGTAAATTATCTTCAACTCGTACGTATGATAACTTGAATGCTACTATAAAACTTAGTCAATATAGGGGTACAGTCGAAAGTCGAAAGCTATACGTATTCTAGTTATGATAACAATTAATTGATAGTGTATTAGTGCACTCCTTACAAAGTTGGCTACAGTAGAGTTAATGTAGTCACAAGGTAGTAGTGCTCAATAAACCTTACTACTTTTAAAGTAATATTTGAATGGTAGTTGTGATTCTTATTCAGGCAACTGCGCTGTAGATATCGTACATTAATTTTATAGTCATGTACAGTACGTCCACAGAGTTCTTTACATTTCCTTATAGAAAGTCTATCCATACCTTTGAATATCAATAACAAACTAAGTTAATACTGCTAATACAGACTGTTCACATGGCGATAACAACGACGTCGTTAATGTTAGTATATTAATTGTATCCCATTAGCCGATCCCACACATTTAGTGAAAAGACTAACTTTGACATTGCTAAGCTACGAGTTGAGTCATTGTCAATGAATCACATTTCTGTTCTAATTCGGTAGATATAATTTTATACAACGTTGTAGATGTTCATCGGTATAAAATAGAGTGATGATGAATGTGATTTTCCGCTATGACATTTATTTTCATTTCATTTTAACCCGATTAGATTACTGTATTGTTGGTGTGCAGCTTCCTTTTCAAAACTACTAGTATCGTGGCGCTACAGCTATCCATGATAATGTATCAAGTTTGATATTACTCTTATTATTACACTACAGTTCAAATCAATCAGAATATACCCTTTTTGAGACCAGCGACAATCTCTTGATTGGATTGTAGATCAGCATTCGTAACAACAGATTGATTGAGTTGGGTAACACTATTTTGTAGATAGATTTGGCGAACAGCTTGACCACCACGTTGGGCCACTTCAATGGAAGCGGATAATAGCTCACTAATTTCAATTAAATGATCTAATTTAACGAAAGGTTTATGCTCGGGTAATGGTTCTTCGTACTCTAATAGAAACCAAGAACGATTGATATAAATGTATTGATAAAGGAAACCGCTTATAATGGTTGAAACGATCAAGATGAGTAAAAGAGCTTGCCACCGTTTTAAACTGGCTAACCATGATCGAAATCGAAATAGCTGTTGCAAGATTCTTCTCTTCCAATCGACAGTTTGAAAAATAATTTGCATGTTTACTGGTGTTATTCTGTAGACATTCCCTTGTATTCTTAAGCTATATGTATTATTGATGCATGGATGGTAGAGAATTGTGTCACAGCTGAATGAAAACAAGCAAGTTTTGGAGTTGTTGGCCTGCCTTCAACTCGCTCCTTGCTTCTCCATGTAGTCACTTCGTCCTCTAGTCAAATATAGCATTATTCTCTAGTACAATTCCAACTGAAATGAACTCTTAACTATTATCGTATTAATCGATCCAATAGCACAACTATCGCAACATGCCTATGGACGTATCCATAAAGGTTAGAAAAGGAAAAAATCAGGTTGGTTGCTTTCCAGTATTGCAATATTCATTTATTACTTGACAGACCGGCTAAAGTGGCTATCAACAACTTTGTCGCCAATCTTTTCCCTTGGTGATACTAGAGTTCCTTCTTGATCAGACTGGACATTGGACAGTGGACACTTGATTCGGACGGTCGGACATCTTCTTCTAAAGGTTTCTATTGGTGCTGTACAATATGTAGTCTGTACGAAACGTCTTGCCTAAGCAGATGCTGGATTTTGTCGCTCGCTTTCTAGTACTATTACTACATAAGTTCTGCTTGAAAGCAGTTCTACTGTATAACGTCATTAATGCTTTTGAATTCATAGTACTGCAGTGATTAAGAAAAATAGACACACAAGATCCATTCTTACTCTACTGTAATAAATGATTTCAACATGATCGGGGTCTTCCTTGTTCTAGTAGAGTCTGGCCGTCCGAAGAGTATCCTTTCTTGTCCGTCCGGTCGTGGTTTGAATCAGTAACAGAGACACGCTATAGTGTACTGACCATCCATAATTTAATATCATCGGGGTCTTCCTTGTTCTAGTAGAGTCTGGCCGTCCGAAGAGTATCCTTTCTTGTCTGTCCGATCGTGGTTTGAATCAGTGACAGAGACACGCTATAGTGTACTGACCATCCATCATTCAATATTATCGGGGTCTTCCTTGTTCTAGTAGAGTCTGGCCGTCCGAAGAGTATCCCTTCTTGTCCGTCCGATCGTGGTTTGAATCAGTAACAGAGACACGCTATAGTGTACTGACCATCCATCATTCAAAATCATCGGGGTCTTCCTTGTTTTAGTGGAGTCTGGCCGTCCGAAGAGTATCCTTTCACCTACGGTGGCCCAGAACTGTCATGGGGCACTCGGTCACTGGCTGGACAATACAGTCCAGTACGGTACGGTACGGCACTGAGATCGCCCTTCAGTTATTCATCTCAATGCACCAATCAAAAGTTAGCTCCAATGGAATCAGCCAATTAGCAGCATCGGGGAAAATTTAAATTTGAAGCGATCCAACCGGTAACAGATCGAGAACATGACGGTATCCGCTATGAGTGGAGACCCTATTTCATACAGTAGAGTAGATAAAAAACTCGTGTATGCGACATGACTCTATCGCTGACACTCATGATTCCTGGCTATACCTGTGTTGCAAGTGCTCTCAACAGTCCATAGTATTCCATATAACCTACTTTACCCATCAGCCGCTACTTAAAAGCCTTTGCAATCCACTCCAACTTAATATTGACTAGTTCATCTTGGTCGGCTTAATCACCCCATTTCTTCCTCTAAAGTTCAGGAATTAACCTTCTGACTTTCTTGATCAGGTTGTAAACGATTACCAAGAGCAGTAGCAGGCGTTCAATCCTTTCCACTTGAATTACAGGTAAAAAAATGGAATAATGATCGTAGGTCAAGTGTGGTAGTCATGGCGATATCAGTCGATTTACTTGTCAAAGATTTGAGGAATAGGATAGCGACGATTCCATTAGTTAAACTATCATCATGGAGAAGAAATGAACAAAATAGGATTCTAAAATATTCTGTTGTCATAGAAAAGTATTCAGTATCACAGCATAAGACGAGTAATCAATGAATACTTCATTTGTTGTACTGTATACCTTTCTCAAAATCATGATTGGAAGGGAAGAAAGAGATCATTGACCAAGCTTGCTCTTCCATCTTCAACCTTGCATTCTATTGCAAATTAATCCATTGCTTATCTTGTTTTCTTATAGTGAGACAAAATGAACATGGAGAATTGTCCCAGGACGAACAACAATCGTTTAGCTGCTTATAAATCCAAAGCTAGTAAGGTTGATCGATCAGAAAAGGCAGCCATTGATCGCAAGAATCAACGTCACAAGTTATTAGATCAACGACGTCCTTTTATGCGAGTCGATAGCAACAAAGCACAAGATCAGGTTATGTGCGAAAAGAAGAAAAATCACGATAATGGTATAGCTCTATGAATAAGCTATTATCAAATTAGAAAATTATCATCGTATGATAACTGTATAGTCAAGCAGATAGACACACTTACATACTGTACACATGTATACTGGTACACAGTAATGGGATAGGCATATAACGTTGATGTAGACAACAGTCTCAACTTTTACCAATTTAGCTTTACCTCGAAATTTATAATACAATCACATCCTATTATTGACAGTCCTCAAATATCTTACTTAATAAATTGATAAGGTACATAGAGTAAACGCAATGATAGACATACCTAGCGAATTGTCCATACTGGAGTACATGTACGTATACTATACAGTGCACTCTACTTTGCATGATTCAGTAAAAATAAATGCTTCATATTGAGTTTACTAATCATTCTCGGAAACAGAACTGTGTATACTTTCCACAAAATTCATAATACAACTATTTATAAATTTACGGTATCGGAAATGTTTTTTTCATGCAATGATAACCATTATAAAATTAAATACTTTAAATTACACATACACAAAGCAGTAAATCGTCATAACCTTTCATCATAGTCTTGTTAGACTATAGAGAAATAACATGAATGGATGAACAGTTGTCAATTTATCTGTTATAGTGACAGAAATCGAGAATATTGAGGCAAGTAAATTTCGTCGACAACAACTACTTAAATGGAAAGAGAAAAAAGAACAGGAAAAGAAAAAGCAACTACGTGAACTATCCAGAAAAAAACCATTTGTTGTACCTGCTGCATTAAATTACATCCGTCCAAAATATGTATCAGAAAGTAAGTGAATGACACATGAAATAGTACCAATATTCAGTAGATAGATGATTTAATCATATATAATTCATCATCTTTGAAAGCATTTCATATGTGCGTCTTACTAAACCAGTATGCCAATAAACTTATTTTTTGCAATATACTGTACAGTAAACTCTACAATTATCAAGAATAAGCATACCTATTAATGCTTTGCAAATCTAACTAAACCCGCTACAATATACTATACACTATAATCTCATTTAGCTAGGCCTACAATAACAATATTCATTCTCATTTTCTATTATATTATTAGATGACGGAAATAAAATTTCCCAAGCAAATCACAACATATTCCAAAGTAAAATGAAATCCACAACGAAAGAAAATGCAGATAAGCCTAGACGTATTACTAGGTCTAAAAGTAAAGCGATAGCAAGTAAAGCGACGACAAGTAAAGTGACGACAAAAACTGATCAAGCCATGAAGAAAGTTGCAAATAAAAAACCCACTGCTCCTACTGTTAAAAATTTACGTAACAGAAAGATTGTTATACCGGGAAGTAAACCGAAAGAACAGGATCCATCTATAAAACAACCTACTAAAACTCATCAACCAAATAAGGTTCTAATGATGATTGCTAATATTTTTATGATTGAATAATAATTTCTACTCTTGTGTTTCCCCTTCTTAACCCAGTCATTAATAATAGTTATTACTACCTATAGTCATAAGATAATAGGTAAAAATATCCAACTCTCTTTCTCTATATATCAGATCATTTAATTATATATATTTGAATTATTCGTACAGGTTCCTCAATTAGCGCCAAATAATTTTACCTTTCAACCGCTCAATCTTAAGCTGCCCGATTTGCAGCCCTTTCAACCACTTTCACCAAATACGGCTGCAAGCTTCTTAGATCCATCTCCTGCACTACTAGCAAGCCCTACTCTGCTTAACAAGATGACTTTACCGACAGCTAGAGAGATTGGAATTAGTTTCTCTTCAGGTGGGATGATATTATCTTAATATTCAATAAAAATGCCTTCGTGTAGATCGTGGCTATTCAAATGCGAAGTAACTTCCTTGTTGCATAGAAGACATATTCACCCAAGAGATAAAATTTTGATCTAACTGTAACATTCCTATTTATAGATATAACGCGTAATGGCTCCAATGATAAAATGGCTGCTTCATCGCAAGAAGGTAATGATGGATAATAATAATAATTACGAAATCTACTCTCTAACATATAGTGACTAGAGCATCCATTTTGCACAACACCGTATACCATAAACTCTTATAGTACTACCTATGACTGAAGCTGTAATACGGTCTACACTATTACAATCTGGCTAATATAATTGAAGGTATGGATATTGATATAATTTGCTATAGATTCAACCAATAATCAATCCAGTCAAGATACTATTTTAACACCACAAAAAGCACTGGATTTCTCCGCATGCGACGGTGAAAATCGTTTCCGTCGAAATGTTAATGCAGAGACACAACGATTAAACGATCTTTGTGATCATTGGAACCAGGTTAAAAGTGAATTAAATCTTGATGACGAAGCCAGACTGGAAGACATCCGAGGGCAGATTGATAGTGCAGTAGGCCAAGCTCAATTACTTATAAACAAGAAATTTAAACAATTTCATCAATTGATAGATAAGAGCTTACGAACTGAAACACCTCATAAAGCATTTGAATCGGATTTAGAAGGTTTTTGGGAAATGGTCTTTATTCAGGTAGAAAATTTAAATAATAAGTTTGGTGCTTTAAAAATTTTACAAGATTGTAATTGGGTCGATAATACGAAGCAAAAAACAAAAACTAAGAAAGGCAAAAAAGGGAATACAAAGAAGAATAAGAAAACTCCAACACGTATTGCTAATAGCCGAAATAAATTAAGAGAATTTATAGCTGCTCAAAAACAAACTAAACCTTGTGAAAATGTTGAGGAACCTATCTCACAAGGTAATGATCAGTCTGAAAATAATTTGGACAACAACAATATCAACAATGAGAATAATGAAAATAGAATGGTACTAAGATCAGTAACTAAAAAGATTCGATTTGCTGATGAGCTTCAATCTGGTGGAAACTTAATTATATCACCAACACCATCTAAACGACGAAGATCCTATCGGAAAACACCAGGTAGCAATTCATCCAGAAGTTTTTCTATAACTCAAGAAACTTCAGAAAGTATGGAAGAGAATCAGGATGGTTCGCTGACAGATTCACCTTCTATAGTGCGATCTATATTGAAGAAAACACCAGCAAACAAATCTACTGAGCTGTTAACTAAAGATGAAACAGCTATACCTTTAGAATCGCTAGCTGTAACTTTATTTACTGACGAAAAAGACGATATCGATCAAACTACAGATGCAATCAATGATATCTCGGACGGGCTACCCGAAGATTATTTTCAGCCAGCTAAGGCTGAAAATACTGATTCTTTATCACCTCAATTAATAGATTTAAGTAATGGCATTGTATTACCGTTTGATACAATTAAACCTACTCAAATGGATAATAACTTAGAGGAATCCAGTGATGGTCTATTATTTAACGCATTTGGAGGCATTATGAATGGAAGCAGCAAAAGGAATAGTTACTACAAACAGATTGACGTAGATCTATTACAATTTTCGCCTGCTGTCACTCCAAGAAAATCAACTACCCCAAGAAAATCTCCGTGGCATCGAAGTTGTAAGCGTAATACTATATTATAAGCTATTTCAATAAATATAGGATTTGTAGGTATTCTACTTACCATACCGTTCAATTAAATAACGTGTTTCACAAGTTCTTCATTGTGTATGCATATGTATATGTCCGTAGTATTGATAATTGATGTTTATAAAATAACAGAATGTTTTTGATATCATGGTTAATATCATATTATTTTATAGCATCCAAGAATAAAGTGGAAGGTTCATTAGTGAAGCGTTATGCCTCTATCACGCCAAAGAAAGAAATGAAGTAAGTATATCTAGTGTCAACTGATTGCCTGCTTACTTATTTATTTGCATTTCACGCTACTGAACTTCAGTACCTTATAATACATTGAAGTTATTAATTTAGCAAGAATACACATTTAGATGTTAAATTTATGGTTATATTGATATAGCTTACTTAACTATGCAAAATATACTTAATTTTTATTTAGGTAACTAGCATTTAATGTTTCATATTCATTTTTAGGGTTGAATTAGGTACCGATATCATCTTTACCCCTGTTATCCGATCTAAAAGGAATGAAAAGTCTGGTAGAAGAAGTGTTTCACAAATTGTAGTTGAAAAATTGCACGAATTACCAGAAGACATGGACTTTGGCATCCAAAGTAACAAGCATTTAATTGACCTAAATTAGATCTGGGTCGCTATCCATAATACTCTTACGTGATATCATACTACCAATTTTTGGTAATAAGCGTAGTATAACATGTATATTCCTACAACAATTTTTACTGTAAAATTATAACAACACTGTCTTCGTACAAGTATTTATAATTATACCGTCCAGTAGCCTTACGTCCCTGTTAAGTCTATATAAAATTTAATTAATTATAATTACCTGATTGCTTCTCGTATTAGAGAGCTATACCTATTATACTGTTTTACCTTAGATTACAGTATATTATCTTAATTTATCAATATTCTTTCCTTATCATAGATTTTACTGTATACACTTTAAAATTATGCTTACTTTCCCATAGTGTAATTGCCATCTTAGAGATGTACCAAGTTTTTCTACAATTGTAAGTGATAACGTTTATCGATTTAGATGTTGGAACATAAATCTATTATGTTACACTTATAATTAATTAATAAGCTGATATAGACAAGTGTGTTTTAGCGATAAAACAGGCGATAAAGCTATAGATCGTTTACTGATGTAATTTATGAGATCTCTGTATATATGTATTCTTACTTAAGTAGTGAAGTTAATGCACAAACTGATAAGACGTTACATCTATAGAAATAATGAAATAGACAAATCAAGGCTAAGATAGGGCCTATTCGAATAGAGAGATTTCATATACACCGTGTACGACTGTATGTGTGTGTGTTAAATAAAAACCGGTTACTCTTGACTTAGTAAGAAATGCTTACTGCTTGTACGCGTATATATGTGTAGCACCATTTGCATATCCAAAATACGTTGTAGTTCATTCTAAGTTAACAAAGCTGTTATGCTTTACTACATTTATGTTAAGATTCTTAATTAATAAATTCTGAATTTATAAAAGACACTAAATTTCATGATGGGTATTGCTGTCATTGTTCTTAGCTTCATTTCATGAATAGACCTAAAGCAGCAGAATAATAAATTAAATTAACTACAAGCAGTAATCACTATATTGCGCTGCTGTTTTACAATATGATCATCATCGACTTAGCCGATCATATAGAGCAGTAAGTGGTCGCAAGAATTGATACCACAAGTTATTAGATTAATAACGCCCATTGATGTAAATTTACATTAGTCAAGCACAAGATAAACTTATAAGGGACAAGAATAATCAAAGCAATATTCGTAAGCTGTATATGGAATCATAAAATACGATAGCCCAACTATCGACCATTTTACTGATCGTTTAGTCCTAGCTTTACTATTGAAGCATCAGTATCGCATGGTGACTATCGAGTAGATACGCATGCATCACATTCTCGACAGGTTTCATAACTGTACCTAGAATGCTTAAAGTAATACTATATGGGCAAAGTAGTCGATATCGCCTTCAACTCTATTATTTAATCTATTCATCCGAAAACTATACTAGTAGTATAGTATAGTACCTATAATGCTTAAAATAATACTATGAGGGCAAGTAGTTAATAATCACCTTCCACCCATTATTTAATCTATTCATCTGAAAATGATACATACTGTATACCATATAGATTTGTAATCACTAAATATGACACCGTAGTAAATTATCGTAGTAGCTACCCATAATGCCAAAATAATACTCTAAGGTAAGAGGTTATTGATTATTACTTTAATCGTTTTCAATTCTGTCACTTAATATATTTATATGAGAGCAATTATGGTTTCAGGATTTAGATTGTGCTATAAGATAAAATGATCTTTATTTAAACTACCGCGTTTGACTAATTTTACTATTTCGAGAGATATACGGAACATGGCAATGATATAAAAGATAAAGGAAAATGATTATTTTTAAATTAATTTAATTAAACGCCTTGTTAAACAGCACATTATCCTACTTATGTGCGTATCTTTCATCGATTTTTAAACTATTATCCTACCACTCTGACTACTTTATCGAAGGATAGACAGATAATTACTAGAAGAAAATCAACTTATCCAACCTTCTAATAATAATTAATCGGCTAGAAAATAGAAATAATTTATCTTCATTTAATGCAGAATCAAGGTAGTTTTATAGTTTTCCATTTCAGGTTAATAATACAATACAAAGTAGGAAAAATTGATTTGGAATAGTGGTGCTGATTAATTGAATAACAGGAAGCCATATTTTTGGATATTGTCTATCAGTTATAAGCATAGGAAATAACAGGCTTGATATAAGCATTAATTTACTCCCACGTACTCATGCAGAGTCAATAACAGGATAGGAGTGATCATAAAAGATTTCTCTCTCCCTATAATAATTGTTGACTTATTAATTATGGTTCAAAGGCAAAAATTTTTTTTGTCTTCTTGACATTTTCTGTTTATCGAATTGCAATGTTATAGTATGATGAGAGAGATATTTTTTAGTTTTCTATCGTGAACTTAAGAAAATATTTTTATCATTGTCGACAATACCATCAAGAGTTTAGCTTAGAAAATGATAGCCCATTTCGATGATGATATTACTCATTACCTATAGTTGATAACGAAATTGGATCTGTTCTCAAAGATGGAATAAAAGACAGCACACGATAACCACCTTCAAAAACCATATTACTGTATTACTTTAAAGTAAATGATACTCTTTTTCAAAAGATAGAATTACTAGTTATTTCATTACTGCAAATACTATTGAATTTAAAGCTTATTAAATAATCATCTCTTTTGAAGGCGACATTACTGCTGATTCGCTCAACGATTAGTACAATCATAACATGCTTTCCATAAATAAGCAAAAGATAGCTGATATTAAAATTATTGTTACTGATTGTGTCATATTTATCTAATGATTAATTCATTAAATCCTATACTTCCCCATTCAACTAGCAGCTGAAAGTATAAGCGATATTAAAATGACAATATTGTTAGCTGAATACCTGATGACTAATAGAATTGGGATTGGGCCTCCTAACGATAAATCAAAATAGTAAATAATGATTATTTATCAAAAAATATTAATATTACTAATTATTACCGGTAGTCGATGACTAATGGAATTGAACAATAATCCTTGAGAGTAAATCAAAGTTGTAAACAGTGATTATTTATTTCCAAAGATGCTGCAATATTACTAGTTATTACTAGCGGTCGATGACTAATGGAATTAAATAATAATCCTTGAGAGAAAATCAAAGTTGTAAACAGTAATCATTTTTTAAGGTGTCGTAAACTAACTCTTTACTGGATAACTAATAATATCGAGTATTTCAGATATATCTTCTAAGGATGACTAAGGTAGTAAACAGTGATGCTTTCCCAAAATAGCATTATCTCTTATTGATCTGATGACTAAGAAATCAAAGATTTTTCATAGAGTGAAGTAAGGTAGTAAACCCATTCATAGATGCTGCTACCGTTTATTCCTTTGAAAAATGCAATAAAAATTCGATATATTGACGAAAGAATCATTGAAGGCAAATAAATAATAGTTATTTTTTCTTCAAGATATTATTATTCATGACTTATTTACTGAGTAATTACAAGGAAAATCAAACACATCTCTCAAAGTAAAATAACGTAGTTAACCCATTCACAAATGCTGCTATCGGTTATTCAGTTGATAAATATAATTAAAATATGATGTATTGGTGAAGAATCATTGAAGACAATAAATAATACTTATTTTTTTCATAAGACGGTATCATTTATGAATTATCTGATGACTGATAAATATATCATGAATTTGAATGTATTCTCTACGAAAATGAAGCAGTGTCTATGAAATCATTTTCAGAGATTGCAATATTATTAGTCATTTATCTGATGACTAGCGAAATTTCAATCTATCCTTCAATTAATAATACCGTATATGTTAAGTACCGTAGCAACCAATGCAATAGTATAAACACTTTAAAAGATAGTAGAATTAATAATCACGTTTCTGAGAACTAGTCGAATTTCAATTTAATTAATTAACAATATCGTACATGTCAAGTAAGGACCAAAGTAATGATATGAACATTTTAAAAGATAGTAGCATTAATCATGTTCGTGAGAACTAGTAAAATTTCAATCTATCCCTTAATTAATAGTATGGTACATGTTAATTAGTAATGGCATAAATATCTTAAAAGACAGTAGAGTTAATAGTCATATTTGTGAGCACTAGCGAAATTTCAATCCATTCCTTAATTAATAACACGATATATACTAAGTAGAAATCAAAGTAATGGCACAAATATTTTAAAAGACAGTAGAATTTATAGCCATGTTTATGAGGACTAGTGAAATTTCAATCTATCCCTGAATTAATAACACGGTACATGTTAAGCAGAAATTAAAGTAATGGTATAAACCATAGCGGAAAAGAAAAATCTTTCTCTATTTCTATATTTAAAAACACTTTAAAAGACAGTAGAATTAATAGTCATGTTTATGAGCACTTGAAGAATTTTCAATCTATTCCTTAATTAATAATACGGTGCGTATCAAGTAGGAATCAAAGTAATGGTATAAACATTTTTAAAAGATAGTAGAATTAATAACTATTCATCTGATGACTAATGAAATTGAATTTATCTCTTAAGAGAGAATCAAGGCGATAATATGGCTACTTTCGAGGATGGTAGTGTCGTTCGTCGTTCATTTGGAGCGATATTCGACTAGGTTAAAAACTAATTAAAATGAAACTAGAACGTATTCTTTCAGAAAGAATCAAGTAAGCCATGTAGAGATTTTAGAAGATAATTGACAATCATTTGTTAGAGCGATATTCGACTAATTTAATGAAAATGAGATTAAAATCTATCCCGTTAGAATTAATTGAGGTAAAGCTATAATCAATCTTGAAGATAACGGTATTATTAATCGTTTATCTCAGCGGTATTTGACCAGATTAAGAGCTAAGAAAATGAAAAATCTGCCCCTTAAAAGAATCAAGTGGAATCAAGTGGAATAACTATTTTAGAGGATACCAATATTATTAATCGTTTATCCGGACGATATTGGATTAGATTAATAGTTAATACAGTTAAATCTATCTTTTGAGA